ATATATATATATATATATATATATATGTGTACTTTAGACCGGGATTGAGAATTATTGAGACGGATCTGAAGATTTTATGATGTGCGTTTTGAGATTGTTCGAGGAAATGCAATAGGAAAGGATATATTAAAGGGACGTTGCTTAATTTACGATTTCAAATCTTGCGATTTAAATATTGTTTCATATATTTATTGTTTGTTTATGATCTATTGTTGACTTGTTTATATTTTGTTGTAACATCCTAGCGTAGTGAAAGCCGTGGAAATTTCTTTTTGTTCTTAATATAAATAATTGGTATTTCAACTATGAGTTTTGATAATTAATTCACAGGGTTTAAATTTTAAACACAATAAATTACTCAAGAAAAGATTTTAAGAGTTATGAGTGGTAAATTTTAGAGTACGCTTTATTTTCGTTAATAAAATTTATGCCTATGTTTTATTCATACAGAAAATTATTCATTATTTTTATAATAGAAGACCTTTGTTACAAAAATATTAACTCACATTTTTGTAATGATTTGTTACAAAAAATAATTATCTTATAATACTTAAAAAGTAATTAAATTAACAGTAATTATTTTTTATTTTTAGAATTAAACTTCATTTTTTTTATAGCTCTTTTATTCCACACTTTTATTATTTCTTTATAAAAAATAACTAATGTAAGTTTTTAATTAAATTTAATTTAATAATAAATGTTGAAAAAATCAATTCACGAAAAGTTTTAAGTTAATTTTTCACTTTAATAAATTTATAGGTAACAATTCTTTAATTATAAATTATTTAATAATTGAAAATCTTTTAAATAATAAAAAAACTAACATTAAAATTAAAACAAAAAAAAAAGATTCTCCAACCATAACTAAAATTTAACAATCTAAAATCTAGATATCAACCAAGATCAATTTTCATCACTAATAACATTAGTTTTAATAAACTTCTCAATCTCCTCCTGCTTTTCATCGTGAATTTGATGACAAGAGCCGGTTTTTCTACCACAAACAAGCCCTTTCTTGCAAGGACACACCACATAATGGGCTTCTTTGACATAAAACTTGCTGCCGTCAGGATACGTCAGAGTAGTGTTCGTTATTTTGTTGACTTCGGGTCGGCAAATTTCGTCTAATTGACGTCGCTCCTGGCACGTGGGGATGGTGAATCTGTAACCGCTCATTGCACAGCAATCTCCAGGATAACAATCAAAATCGCTTGAACATTGTCCTGGTGCAAGTGGACCAGATTTCGTCAGCATTGCTCTAGTTGGCTCCTCTCCCTTTTGCCCAGGGTGTCCGAGAACAAAGCAGACACTCGTCAGCACAAGTGCCAGTGCGACACTTCGTGTAGTCATTCTTGACCTCGGATCTAAAAAAGTATATTTTTTTTTATTATTCTGCAACAAAGAAGTATCAAAAACCAATTAATTTGTAGTTAATCACGCTCATTAATTATATATAACAAAAATAAATAAATAATGATAACAATAAATTATAAATATGAGAGCTTATTGTTACCTTGGTCGGCGGAATCTTTCGATTGATTTAGAAATAATAAACTCTTGATAAATAAATTTTTTATTATTTATTATGACTTATGAGTTATTTATATCGTCGATGTAATGCTGTTATGAACATATGCCTTATTTAAATACATTACCAAGGAAATATGAATTTTTAATTCCAGCCTTGACCTATGGCTATTTTTTATAATTGACGCCATAATTTAAAGTACCTCATATTTTTTAATATCAATTTAGAGAAATAAATAGAAATAGAACACGACAAGTAACAAGTATAAATTACATTTTATTACTTACCGGAAGAATAAATCAATGATCAATTAAAACTAATTATTTTGTCTGCTTAATCATAGATTGCGTGTAAACTAAATGATTTTTAATTCAATCACTGTTTAAATACCTTTTTATAACGCGTTATTATTTAAGTTTCAATACGCATGCGTTGCGTTTTTTGATTTAATTTCTTTGAAATTTTTTGCTTTTTTTACCTGCTGATGGTTTTCATGAATTAATGAAAACCGCGTTGGTGATTGAAGAATAATTACCGAGTGTTGATACAGAACGAAAAAAATTATTCTGCTGTGTAAAGTTTTAATATTTAGAAATATTTCATTTAAAAATTAATTATTTAAATTAACAATTAAATATATGAAAATAAAATTTTCATTTTTTTTAAAATAATTTTTCAGATTAAATCAGACTAAGATTTGTTTTAGCAACACAAATTTATAATGTAAAGAGTAAAACTTATTTATTGTTATATGACAACCGTAAAATTACATCAACTCATTATTTATCCAACTATAAAACTAGAAAAATATCAATAATCTAATTAAATAACTATTAATAATATCAAAATTAATTAACTTTATATCCAAAAAAAACTACGATTTATCCAGAAGCATCCTGGTCTTCAATAAACTTTTGAAGCAGCGATTTATCCAGAGGAATGTCCAAATACTCAGCACCATCAACATTACGCTTGGTCTTGACAAGTTTGTGATCAAGAAACTCTGTCAGCTGAGCGCGCAGAGCAATATCCGAGCTAACGAGGAACCTCTCTCGAGCACTGCGGTACAAATCCTTGAAAGCCATGCCATGATAGAACGTATTCTTAGCATTCTCAATTTGATACTTGACAAGAATTGTATAAATCGCTTTTGCATTGGTCGTCAAAGACGCGAATACGTTTCTTAGAGAAGACAGAGCAAGAGCTCCACTGCGCTGCACCAGGAGTGAGCTCTCATAAGAAGTTTCTGCTTCGTAAGGCAACAGAGTCGTAGTGTCCCACCAGTAGAAGTTGTACCTGGCTCGCTTGACGTTGTCCCATAGCAATGGAGCGTTTATGTGATCAACAGTTGCTACCATCCTTACATTCGCGATGGCTGCGAGTCGCGAAAGCATATCCTGGGATTTGTTTGACCTCAACATTGTACCATCAATGTTGTGGACCAGCAAATACAAACGATCATCAGGATTCTTCTTCATCGTGCTCTCGATTATCGTGAAGCAATCATTTATGTTTGAAGGACACTCTAGCTCTAGAAGCTCCGTTATTATTCCTTCGAGTATGTCTTTTATAGTCAGACTGGGAAAGAAACCGTTTATTACTAACGTCGGGTGCTCGGATAGTATTTCCTGGTGAAAATCGTTTATCAGATTCCTTTTAGAGCCTAATCCGTGTAGTAGTAAACTGTAACCTTCTCTATAACATTTAAAGTAAATAAAATATATTATTCAGAATTTATTCTTTAATTAAAGATTAAGTTATAAGTTAATTTAATTAATATTTTCTACTTATTTAACGTCCGGATCTTGTTGCTTGCATTTTAATGTTTATAAAAGTTTTTTGCTTTTATGTCCACTGATGTTATTTCATAAATTTATATTAATTAGAAATTTTGGAAACAAAAATTTTTGGTTAAAAAAAAACTACTATTTTCTTCTGATAAAATTCTTTCGATAAAAAAAATCAATGTTATGAGCTTTTAAATAAGTTTATCGAACAATGGAGAAAAAATTTTCACGTAAGAAACTACCGCTCTATTCTATCATGAGTCTGGTGATAGTCTAATTTTATTACTGTTTAGGAAAAATTTAATATACTTTTATAATTAAAGTATTTGAGCCGCGTTAAAGTAATCAAATATTTATAGTTTAGCTATGAATATTTTCTGAGTAATTTGCTTTAAGCTTTCTTCGTATATTTAATAATCAAAGGATAAAATTTATGCATTTATGTCAGCATTAAAAATTGTTCAGGTAAATTTTATTTAAAACATTAAAGTACTTACTCAAGTATGCGATACCACATGGGAAATAAACTTCTGTAACTATCCAAAAGTTCTTGAATTCCTTCTAAATGTTTTTCCGATATGTAATTTTTATCCTTTAGCAACTCCTGGAGCTTTTCCTCATTCATTTTTGGATTTTTTAGTTTTCCCAGCGTGTGATCTGAAGTGAGAGCCTTCTCTGATTGAGTTTCAAAGTACTCGTCTGTCTTGAGATGCTGTAATTAAGAAAATCATAAAAAATTTATTTGTTTGAATAAAAAAAATTACAATTATTGTAATTAACTTACGTAATCACGATAAACAATATTATTCTTAGATTTTCCCCGCCTGCAAGGAGTGATTGGAGTCTGAATTTTTTTAGCAACTCTCTGGTTTTTTTTCGGTGTAACATTTACAGCATTATTTTCCACATCAGACTGATTGCTAGCATCAGAATCAATAGTGTCATCATCATTACACTCCTCTTCACCGTCACTGTCAGAAGGCTCGTACTCACTTCCTTCGGTCACTGACTCGCTCTCACTGTCAAAATGATCTTGCCGTTTTTTTACAGCAGATCTGACTTTAGCTGGAGACAGCTCGTCTATTTTTTCAGCCAACACACGGACTGACATAAGATTTTTGGATACCGATGCTGGCGTTCTAGGAGTCTGGGATTGCTTCGCCTTCTCAGTCATCGCATTCTTCTTCACCGGAGTCTGGAATCCGTAGATACAATTCCCGCTGACATCTTTATCGTCGAAAAGTATTGTGGATTTTTGTACCTCTTCATCTATTCCCGCGAGTTCTTTTTCCAGTTCCTCTGGCAGTAAATTTTTTTGTTCTTCTCTATCAACTACATCATGTGTCTCTGTTTGGCTGTTTTTGCGTTTATCTGAAAAATTGTTTTTTTTTTTCAAATTACAAAATTTTGATTTTTTTTTTTTAGAAATAAATTTATAAAAAAAAATTTTCTGAAAAATTTTCCTATGCAAATAATTTACTAAAAAAAATATTATAAATTTTTCTAAATAATAAATATCAGTGCAAATTTTTGAGAGTACTATTTTTAATGAATTATTTGTTTAAAAAAACTTAATGGAAAAATGTGTGCCGATTCATACAATTCAATACAACAGGTTACTTAAAAAAATTTACGTACTCTTAACCGGTGACAGATCGACATATTCACTCAAATAATTAACCTGCTGCCGAGTACGGCGAGACCGGCGTAAATTGTTTTCACTCATTATTTTTATTTAATATATTGCTAATCTAAATAATTTATCTCTAACTATATACGCTGCAATCGTGATGTATTGTTTGCAAACAGTTTCGGCGCTTTGAACGTTACAAGCCGGCTGAACTTTTTAGCGTTCATTTTCGAAAATCCCCACCAGGTGGCGACGCACCTTATTTTAAAAATTCAACCTTTAATTTTGAACCAACGAAAACAATTCCTTCAATATAAATAAATTGTTAATAATTAGTTATGAATAAAAAATTCAAATACTTATATTAGTAAGTTCTCGAGCAGTAATTTAATCATTTTTTAAATTTGTTTTTAACAAAAAAATTTTATTCCAAAAAATTATTTAAAAAAAATTGGATTTTTAATCGTATTAATTTTTTTTTCTAATTTTTTTTGTCATAATTTATTTGTTAAAAAAAAATTATAAAATATCTGCTAAATTAATTTTTATAATTATCAGGCGTCGGTCAGTTTTTAAATTAATAAAAAATCAGTCAGATGTCGTTACTCATATATTCTTCTTCTCATATCTTCTGACACATAGATAATTCACCATTCTATACATAGGCTTAGGCTCAGAAATAATTACAAGTGTTTGTAAAATAAAAGTATGTAATATAACGGGCGTGTTTATTAAAAAACAGTCGAGTGGACACCGTGCCGTGAATTTACGGGATTGACAACAATCATCGGAGTACTCGGACAATATAAATTATCAATGTACCAGCAATAGTGTACATCCACCTACCCGCACATACATACCCACATACACTTGAGATTGTGATTTTCAATTACTGATTACTCTCAAGTTACCTTAATCACCGATAATCTTTAGTAAAAAATTGAAAAAAAAAATCCAGCAATGCGAGTTAATTAAAAATTTTTAATTTGCTGATTGTTGCTTTTGTACAAATGCACTAACAACAATACCAGTAATAGTAACAATTGTAATAAGTGGTAATGATGATCAATAAATATAATAATTCCATCACTAACGAATAAGAATTTTTTACAGATGTATATACATTTAAATGTATGTAATTTGACAGTGGTTAGATGAATAGTGGCATCAAGAGGGGGATAGATTGTTCCGCCATATTTAGCAACTTGTGACTTATACATACATATATACTCATAATACTTATAGGGATATACACGTTAATATATATGTATATACGAAGAATATAATAGTGTGCACAGTGGATTAACCCTGACTCTTTCAGTATCGTGCAATAACCAAATTTATTTGTAATAACTTTTTATTTAACCTCATCAAATCAATCATATATTTATATATACATAGATATATTTATTGTATTATTAAGTAAACGATGATTACCATGCCTTGGTTTACATCGTATACAAATTAGTGTGTACAAGAAGAAGATAATAATTTTTTTATAACCAGTCTGTCATTGAACTTCTCTTTTACTTCTACCTCCTACTTGTTCTTAATAAATTGCATCACAGTTGTGATTTAACAGCGATTTTAAAAATGGTACTTAGATTTATTTAGAATTTTTTTTATTAAAATTATTTATTTTCAATTTACTTATTATTTGTTATTATTTTTTGTAGAGTTTCTTTGGATTCGGACAATCTGCTGGCTTGGAGATTATTTTAAATGGTGCAGAGACTCGTAAAACAGCAGAAATAAAATCTGAAGATGGCAAAAAGGAACGACATTTTCTTTACTACGATGGAGAAACTGTTTCTGGAAAGGTAATTAATTATTAGTTTCATTGAAAGTATTTTATTTCTAATTAATTACTGGTGTTTAGGTTATTGTGAGTTTGAGAAAAGCCGGAAAGTTGGAGCATCAAGGTGTTAAAGTTGAGTTTATCGGACAAATAGAGTTATATTATGACAGAGGGAATCATCACGAGTTCACGAGTTTAGTGAAAGAACTCGCAAGACCTGGAGAGCTGACACACAACACGGAATACACCTTTGAGTTTGCTAATGTCGAAAAACCCTTTGAGAGTTATACAGGGTCAAATGTACGTTTGCGGTATTTTTTACGAGTTACTATTGTTAGGAGATTGAGTGATTTGGTCAAGGAATTGGAATTAGTTGTTCATACACTTAGTTCTTATCCTGATATGAACAATCCTATTAAAATGGAAGTTGGTATCGAGGATTGTTTACATATTGAGTTTGAATATAATAAAAGCAAGTGAGTAATTTTTAATTTAATTATGATTTTTATATACTTTCAAAACCAGATCATTTGTAAATTATAATTCGTCATAAAATATAAATATAATTTATATTTTAGATATCATTTAAAAGATGTTATTGTTGGGAAGATATACTTTTTACTAGTCAGAATAAAAATAAAACACATGGAGATAGCAATAATTAAAAGAGAAACTACTGGTTCGGGTAAGATTTTATTTTAAAGACTAAATTATTCATTTATTGATTAGAAAAATATTATTTTTGACTATAATCAATATCTTATGTTTTACATTTACTTATTATTTTTTACAGTTATAAAAATTAATTAAGATATGACTACAAAACAGATTAATACAGATTATATTTTTTCAGGGCCTCACACATTTACGGAAAATGAAACAATAGCTAAATATGAAATAATGGACGGTGCACCTGTTAAAGGTGAATCAATACCAATAAGAGTATTTCTAGCTGGATACGATCTAACGCCAACGATGCGTGATATCAATAAGAAATTTAGTGTAAGGTACTATTTAAATCTCGTACTAATGGATGAAGAAGATCGCCGTTACTTCAAACAACAGGTTTGTTATTAAAATCAACTAACAATGTCATTTTTTTTTATTTGGAAATTATTATTATTATTGTTATTATTTAACTATAGGAAATAACCTTGTGGAGAAAAGGTGACAAAAGTAGAAAATCTCAAACTGCTTCACCACATTTGCCATCTCATCTCGTGTCAGCAGAAACAGGATTCCCTCAAGGTGCAGCAATAAATGGCCCAGCACTGACATCACCACCTTCTAATTCCGACGAAGCAGCAGACAATCAGGACGATGATGATGATGATGATGAAGAGGATGATTCAACGTACGATCAACCAGCTGCGCCGATCGAAGGAATGACCCGCGAAGAAGGCGACGGGGAAGGCGAAAAAGAAATAAATTCTGAGAATCAATGAACTTCATTGGTTAATTATCAGTAATTCATTATATAACAATTTTATAATTTTTTTCAAACAAAAAATAATTAAAAATTTTTATTATGATCCTGGAGATGATTAGAACAGTTAACGGACGTATTGATTGATATACAAGTATGAATATTATTATTAATATTATAATTATAAATATATAACATGCTCGGTCTATGGATTTATCAGCAAATTATTAATATCAATAATAGCTGTTGTCCACAAGAATATATATTTAAATAAGTCTAATGAAACAGACTCTTATATACTTATTATGTACATATGTGTATATATACTGAAATTACCCGGATTCCAAGTGTCCTTGGTAAATAACTTGTGTCTTATATTACTCCGAGAATAACAGATTAAAAAAAAAAAAACACATTAACTAACAGGAAAATAATAACAAGTCGTCGAGGAGTCTCTTTGTAATTCGGATAAATACACGGTGTACACGGTGTCTGTATTTTCTACCATCAGTCCATCAGTTATATTATAAAATAATAAATTATTGTGCCCAGTATCATCCACAAGGCTGAAATGAGTCCCTATTATTATGACAACATCTACCATCGTCATACATTTAAACTTATGTATTTAAATATGTGACTTCGCAAATAATATTAATTAAGTATGATCCGATTGGTTGATCGTTAATATGTGATGAGACTGCGAGATAAAATTTAAAGATATTGATATAAATATTATTCATTTATATCTGAATGCTTTCAATATTCCTCTGTAGTGGACCAAAAATTTATTTAAACCTTTTTTTTTTATTTATTTTTATCGGGCGTTAAATCATGAGTAGTAATACAAGAGATTTTTATTATTGGTGAAAATTATTTTGTAGCTTCTATTTTTATTATCAATTTACTGAACTTCTTTTTTTTTACAGCAATGGATAATGCAATAATAAGTAAGCAATTTTTTGAAATAAGAAAATTTATTTATAGTGTTTTATAAAATTAAAATTTTTACTATTGGTCAATATTTATTATAAGAGATGAATTGCTTTTAAAATTTTTTCTTATCGATCGGGTCTGAAGGAAATTTATTTAAAAATATATATTATTTTTAATTATGAATAAGAAATAAAGCTACTGAATAATTACAATAATAATAGCATTGTGTTATTTATCAAAAAAAAAAATCAAGTATGAACAAATCTATACAGGGGTAATATTAAGTAATTAGCATTCAGTAATAAATCATGTATTAATAATAATAATTAGATATTTTTTATTACATTAAATAATTTTATTATTCATTTCTATTCTTATAAAAAATTTTTATCACAATGCAAATGAAGTGAGGAAAAATATATAAAAAAAAAAGCAGTAGTGTACGATACTTGACTATTTTTTGTTTCTCTCTATTATATTTTTATTGTTTTATTTTATTATGTATTATTAATTATTATTATTATTATTATTATTATTATTAATATAAACAATTTTTTGTTTAGAAACTAGGTAACCAGACAGTAGAGTGTATTTCTCATAAAACAATTATTTTTTTTTAGCACCAGCGAATTTAATTAGCAAATAAATGAATGAACGTTATCATAAGGGCGAATCCCTAACTAAATTTATTAATTAATTATAATTATAATAAAATATATATCTTATACATGTCAAATATTGTATATATGCAATTTGTTGTATATTATAGTGTCTTAAAAATTGAATTATAAAAAAATTATAAAAATTTACGTTTGTCATTCATTTTTTAATTTCTTCTTAAAATAGTTGATAATTATTTATTTTTTAAAATTATTAAAAACAAATTTTATTAATAGTTACTCAGTTTTATTTATTTAATAGATTAAAATATATTTCAAAAATGACCGCTAAAAATGTTCGATATATAAAAAGTCGATCATTTCTACTACTAACCTAAAAATTTGTCGGTTACAATTTTAATGAAAGTCATCAAGGTCAGAATATAGTATCTTAACATAAAAGTAATATGGAGTAGGCTGCATACACTTGCGTAGATTGACAGTAAATAAAACGTTTATAAATAGGAGTAATGACAGTTGTCATGTAATAAAATAAATTGTATTGATTAATTTTAATATTTATTATAAATATTATTTAAATTAAAAATTTAATTATTTATAATAATTTCAAACATGAGTGCACCAGCACCTACAGGATCTAGGGTTAGTATTCTATTTTTTTTTTTCTTTTTTTTTTTTTTAACCTAACAATTAATAATAATTTATTTTTACAGCCTGCTGCCGCACCATCAATTCAAGAATTCAGCATTCGTGTTCCTAAGTAAAATAAATTTCATAAATTTTTAATGAAAAATAGCAGACAAAATTTGTATGATGATAATACAGGAGCACTTTTAGAAGGGAAATTAAAAATTTGAAAAGTTCGAATTTATATGAATTCTGCTGTATTTTATCAATCAAATTTTAAAAGAGAACTTAATAATTACCAATACAAAAACACTGAAAATTTATTAGCATATATTTTCTATATATTATATATAATTTATTAAAAACTATACATCCAACTATGTCTGCTATTTTTATCATATTATTTTTCACGATTGTCGGCTTAATAAATATTAATCATTGTTATTATTTTTTCCTAGGAATAGCCGAAAGCGGCACAATGTAATGCGTTTTAACGCGAATTTAAATGTCGATATTGCAAAATGGACACAAGTAAAAATGGAGAGAGAAAACAATGCCCGCGAGTACAAGGGTTACGACGAAGAAATGCCAAAGTTTGGAGCTGGGTCTGAATTTGGTCGTGATGCTCGTGAAGAAGCAAGGCGTAAGAGATTTGGTATTACTGCACGAAAATACAAGCCAGAAAATCAGCCCTGGATCCTTAAAACTGACGGTAAAACTGGGAAAAAATTCAAGGGAATACGTGAAGGAGGTATTGGAGAAAATGCCGCGTACTACGTATTTACACACGCACCTGACGGTGCTATTGAAGCTTTTCCGCTTCATGAGTGGTATAATTTTCAACCAATCCAACGGTACAAAACTCTGAGCTTTGAAGAAGTAGAAGATGAAATGAAAAGACGTGTTAAAAGAATGAACTATTGGTCGCTGATGGACAGAAAAAAAAAGAAAGATAATGAAAATGATGATGATCCAGAAAATGTTGAAACAAATGTAAAAGATCAACTTGCTCTGCAGATTACTGAGAATGAAGAGTGGATGAAAAGCGATGACGACGAAAGCGAATCGGATGAAGAGGGTGGCAAGAAAAAAAAGAAGGATTCTGATGATGATAATGATTATAAAGATGACGACAAAAAAAGCAAAAAGAAAAAGAAACGTAAGTCATTTTTTAATAATTTGTCCAATATATCTAAATGTGACTGATTTTAATATTTTTTTTTTTCAATTTTAGCAATCAAGAAGAAGAAAAAGAAGAAGCGTGACTCTGATGATGAAGCATTCGAAGAGAGTGACGACGGTGATGAGGAAGGAAGAGAGTGCGAATATTTAACAGATTCGACCGACTCAGAAGATGAAGTAGAATCCAAAGAAGTTAAATCTGTCGCTGAAGAAGATGCCCTTAGGAAAGCGTTGGTTTCAGATGAGGATGACGAGGAAGAAAATAATGAGGAGAAAAAAGATGACGATGAGTTTGACGAAGATGAAGCTAAAGACGAAAAAGACAAAGCTAAAGAGACGGAAAAGAAGAAAGATAAGAAGAAGAAGAAAAAACCTAAAAAGAAAGACGTGAAAAAAAATTCTAAAGATTCGTCTCTTAGTGAGGATTCCAGCGATTCAAACTCCGATTCAGATTCTCCCAAAGAATCTAAAGAAATTAATGGTAAAAAATTAGCCAGCGCTCATAACTCAAGATCTTCTACTCCCACTGTCGTTGCCGGTTGTTCTACCGATAACTTGAAGCGTAAAGCAGCTGCTTCTCCGGAATTATCTCAAATTAAAAAAATTAAAACCGAAACTCCGACTCCTGCTCCTGCTCAGGTTCCAACCACACCGATATCTGGATCAAAGTAATTATTCTTTTTTTAATATCAACTTCTAGAATTTATTTTTTATTTAAACTCAAGTTTAAATTTGACCGATTACTGACTAAATTATTTAATTTACAGCGAAGGGATTACTGAAGAAGCCGTTCGCCGTTACTTGATGCGCAAGCCGATGACAACAACAGAATTGCTACAGAAGTTCAAGTCAAAGAAAACAGGAATAACTTCCGACAAACTAGTGGTGATGATGACCCAAATCCTGAAGAAAATAAATCCCACTCGACAGACTATTAAAACCAAAATGTATTTATCTTTAAAAGCCCAACCTCATTGATAGTATCGTTTTTTAACAATTTATTTCTCATGCTAAATTATTATCAATTTATTTGCAAATAAAATTTTTTGATAATTAAATCAAAGAGAGGTAATATTTTTTAAAAATATTTATTAATTTCCAATTTCTAATCTTATTTATTATCTATTTAGCGATAACTGGTGACACAAAAAGGCTACTAGATTAATAAAAAAAAAAAAAAAAAAAAAAAAAAAAAAAAAAAAATTAATTGATAGCCTGATTGGCCTCCGTTAATTGGTGGCTATACCTTAGGAATTGCAGTTTTTACAGATTAGGATAAAATAATTTCCAGCATAACATTAATATAACTCTTGTAATGATACGATAGTGAAGAGAGGTCAACACCAAGAGTTGGACTGCTGGCAAATTGTTTTGTTCATACGTTATTTTATCTTTCGCATGTTAAGACATACTTTATATCTTTGGATTCATTTAATATAATTATTAATAACTACTTTAATTACTAATATTTTTAATTATGTTCCGACGAGTAAACTATCGTCAACGACGTCATAAATTTATCAATTCATCTGTTCGTTATACCAGTGTAAGTTTTATTTTTAATCTAAAATTATTTACTAATTTCAATTAAAGTATAAATTATTAAACTTACAAGTTATTGATTAATAATTTCAGAGTTTAAAAGGAAAAATCATAGCAATAAGGCGTGAAGATCAATCAGTATGGGAAAGAAGAGCTCCATTGGCACCATCAAACGTTCGACGTTTAATAAGATCTGGCGTAAGAGTAATCGTGCAGCCGAGCAACCGTCGTGCTTACCCAGCGCAATCGTATTTAGCTGCTGGAGCTCATCTTCAAGAAGATATAAGCGAAGCTTCAGTGATCTTCGGAGTAAAGCAAGTTCCTGTTGACGCCTTAATACCTAACAAGACTTACTGCTTCTTTTCACATACAATAAAAGCTCAGGAGAGCAACATGCCACTCTTGGACGCGATTCTCGAAAAAAATATCCGGCTGCTGGACTATGAGAAGCTCACTGATAAAAATGGGCAACGACTCGTCGCGTTTGGCAAGTACGCCGGTGTAGCTGGCATGATAAATATTCTCCATGGGTTGGGACTCAGGCTCTTGGCTCTTGGACATCACACACCTTTTATGCACATCGGACCAGCCCATAATTATCGCGACTCAGCGGTTGCTCGGCAAGCGATCCGCGACGTCGGGTATGAAATTGCACTAGGAGCGATGCCCAAGTCAATCGGGCCGCTGACTTTTGTCTTCACAGGCAGCGGAAATGTTAGCCAAGGTGGTCAAGAAGTGTTTCAAGAACTGCCACATGAGTACGTTGATCAGCAGAGTTTGAGAAAAGTTGCTGAGCATGGTGGTAAATGTTTTTATTTTTTTAATTAATATTTAACTGTTAACTAATTTTTAATAATAATAAAAAAAAAAAAAAAAAAATAAATAATTTCTGTACTATTTAAAATAATTAAAAATTTATGATATTGAAATTAAGAGCCATGTGACAATTTTTAGAATATTTTTAACACATTAATTACAGCAAGAAAAATTTATTTAAAAAATTCCATTTTTAAAAGCTCTAAAAAATTATAAATGCAATTTTAATTTTAATAATTTTCTAGATCTAGTTTATTTTTCAAAAAAATTTGAAGTGTCTGCTAATTTCAGTGTCGTAAAAATTTAAATATTTTAATTAATAATAAATAATTAAAAATTTTAATACTTCCGTCAAACTTAACTCTTCTAAAATACAAGTTTTAATCTTATTTCCTTATATTTATTGCTATCTTTATATAAGCGTCAGCGTAACGCATTTATCTGACAATATAACAAAATGATAGCCTCATATGACCTATCGTTCTGTATTTATAATAAAAACCAAACTCTTTTATTAAGATACAAACAAAATATACGGATGCGAGATACGTCGTAGGCATCATTTAGAGCGCAAAGAAGACGGTGGATACGACGCTGAAGAATACGATAAGCATCCCGAGCGTTACATCTCAACATTCAGCAAGAAGATAGCTCCCTACGCATCAGTGATAATAAACGGTATCTACTGGGCAGTAGACTCTCCAAAGCTGCTGACGATTCCTGATGCAAAGTACCTTCTGCGACCAGCTTACACCCCCTGGCTGCCAATAAGCGTCGGTGCGCCAGCGTTGCCTCACCGTATGCTGGCGATCTGCGACATATCCGCTGATCCAGGAGGTAGTATTGAATTTATGAATGAATGTACGACTATTGACACGCCATTTTGTCTTTACGACGCTGACAGAAACAAAGACACTAAGTCATTCAAAGGTCCTGGTGTTTTAGTCTGTTCTATTGATAACATGCCAACGCAGTTGCCCAAAGAGTCCACTGACTTCTTTGGTGACTTGCTGTTTCCATTCGCTCAGGAGATTATTGAGAAATCTGACGCCAAAAAGCCTTTGGAGGAGCACGATTTCAGTCCCGCAGTCCACGGTGCTATAATCGCGTCCAACGGACAATTGACTCCCAACTTTGAGTACATAAAGGAGCTGAGAACAATGAATCAGAGAAGCAAACACAAAGCTGCCAGCGACAGTGAAGCCCAGACTAAGACCATTGTAGTACTGGGTGCTGGATATGTTGCAGCTCCGCTGGTTGAATATTTGCATCGAGATGGTAACACAAAAATAGTTGTCTGCTCACATTTAAAGGACGAGGCTGATACACTCGCTAACAAATATTCTGGGGTTGAGTCTATTTTCTTGAATGTTACCGAACGCCCTGATACTTTGAAAGAAATAATAAGCTCGGCAAATGTTGTGGTTTCTTTGCTGCCTTATGGGCTTCATCATGTTATTGCTAAGACTTGTATTGACACCAAGACTCATTTGGTTACTGCCAGTTATTTAAATGATAATATAAGAAGTCTTCATCAGGAGTAAGTATTATTTAATTACAACTAGCAACCTACAGTCACTATGCGACTACCTAGATTTACGGATTATCAAGAATGAAACTTTGGCTAATTAATTGACTATCATAAATTTAAATCATAAATGATTATCACTGAAAAAATATCAAAACCAATTTAAAATGAAGATATACCCGTTAGGAAATTTTTCTTAGTCTCTTTATTTAAAATAAATAAATAAACAAATGACGTTTATCACGAAATTGGAATCTATTAAGAACTCCTTCGAAAACTTATAATAAATAAATTATTATTATTGAAAAGCATATGAAACATTAAAATGTTACAAATCCTTTCCAATTGTATTAAATTTAATTTAAAAAAACTTATTTTATCATATAAATACGCCAGAGACAAAATTTTCTTTAGTCTCTTAATTACATGGATAATTCACATCATTTGCTGATTAATCAAACATGAGAATATTAAAAGATTTTTTTTGTATTTTTCAGAGCGGAAAATGCTGGAATAACTATTTTAAATGAAATGGGTCTAGATCCAGGTATTGATCATTTGCTAGCTCTTGAGTGTTTTGAGGATGTAAAACAAGCAGGCGGTAAAATTGAATCATTTATTTCCTGGTGTGGAGGTCTACCAGCGCCAGAGTGTTCAGCTAATCCTCTGAGGTACAAATTCAGTTGGTCACCGCGCGGTGCTTTGATAAACACTCTATCACCGGCGAAATACTACCACAACGGACAAGTTGTTGAGATCGCTGGAGGTGGTGATCTCATGTCGGCAGTTCAGAGTCTTGATTTTCTGCCAGGATTTGCTCTGGAGGGCTTTCCTAATCGCGACAGCACGATGTATCGAGAATTATACGGAATTCAGAATGCTAATACTATTTTACGAGGAACGTTAAGATTCAAAGGTTTCACCGATACTGTTCAATCTTTGCAATACTTGGGTCTCATTGATCCTAATCCTCATCCTATTTTACATCCGAATGGCCCAGATATCACTTGGGTAATTTATTGCATTATTTCTTATTCTTGGAATACATATTTAGGATTTGAAATTGATTGATCTGTATTTATCTTTTTTGTTGCAGCGTACACTTATTTGCAATCTTTTGGGGCTTATAAACGATAATATATTCTACGAAAATCTCAAACGAAAGCTTGTAGAGCGTGTAAATTCTGAGGAACGTGTCCAAGCCCTTGAAGACCTCGGTTTGCTTGCTGAAGACTCTGTGTTGAAACTAAACACTCCATTAGACACGCTGGCGCATTACTTGTCTAAAAAACTCAACTTTGAGAAATCAGAACGCGACTTGGTGATCCTGCGCCACGACATTGGAATCCATTGGCCGGACCATAGAATTGAGGACAGAGGAATAAATTTAGTTATTTACGGCAACGCTGACGGGCACTCGGCGATGTCTCGTACCGTTGGATATCCAGCAGCTATTGCTGCCAAGATGATTCTGGACGGTGAAATTCAACAACGTGGTGTTATTTTACCCTTCACACCTGATATTTATCGCCCTGTTCTTAATAGACTAAGGTCTGAGGGAATTGAATCCTTTGAAACATCTAGATGGCGTTAATTATATTATTAATAAATCTGTACATATTTTAAATAACATTCGATTTTTGTTTTTAAAATAATTATATTGCAGAAGACGTATTATTTACAAAGGTTTATTAAAAAATATTATAAATAAAAATTATATTTTACAAGTAACATTAATTTTAACTCACAGCGACTTTATTATGTGGAATTTTACCAGGCCTTAAATAAGGATTATCAATTTCTTGCTGGGTCGACACTTCTTCACTCGTTTCCGTAGGCTCTGATTTCACGGCAATGTCTTCTTTTACATCATCATCGTCATCATCATCATCATTTGTCTTTGTCTCTTTACGTTTTTTAACGGGAGCAGTCCTTTCAAAGTCGAACTCTGTCTCTGGTTCAAAAACTTGATCCTGCGGCATCAAGGCAGAGAGATAAGGTGGAAACTGTGGCTTACAAGCGATTACTGCAATAAAGACCAGTTATTAATTACATTATTATTCAGTTTTATTGCAAGGTGAAAGCCTAATTTAAGATTCCCTGGCTTTAAATAAAATTTCAGGACTTACTAAGAAAATAAAAATCAAATAGACATTGAATTTTTCAATTCTTTCGCAAAATAAAGTTTTCATCCTAATTGCATCAATTCCAAACTAGTCTAAAATGTGCTTTAATATATTGTAAGTAACTACGGGCTAATTAATAAAATTTTTTTACACTAACAGTTTGCAACTTACATAAGAATGCGCTGTTGTCATCAGACGAGAACAGACTGTGAGTTTCGCTGGTTTTAGCGACAAATCTTGTCAATGCTCGTTCAGTATCTCTTTTTTGAGAAGCTGCTTTCTCTCTAATAGCTTCATACTCCGTGACAGGCTGCTTATGAGTCTGTGAATGATAATTTTGTTAGAAAAAATTTCTAATTGAAAACGAAAAATACTACGGCTACAAATTTGAATGTCTGACTTACAGGAGTCCGAATATATGCATGAGGATCAGGAAACTGTGGGAGATAGCTTGGTACATGTGGCGGATGAGGCTGTTTTTCACCAGCAGGAAGCATGTTCATCTGCTTAGACTGAGTCTGTGGCTGCAGCGGTGGCAATGTTGTACGATTTTGCCTCATTGCGTACTTAGTAAGACCGTCCAACTTAAAACCCATGTTTATGAGCGCTAAAATTATATCTGCTATCAAGGGTTCTGTCCTGCCAGCTAGCTCAGAAAAATTTCTGGACGATTCTCCAATTTGAACTAGAACTAAAAAAGAACAAGTAAATATTAAATTTCATTTTTTTTTTTTTTTTTTTATTTTTTTTTTTTTTTTTTTTTTTTTTTTTTTTAAGAATAATTAAACTTAGAGTTGATAAAAATGTGACCAATACTTACATGACTGTAGCATTTCAGTCAATGTCTCCATTACTTGTTTTTCACAAGTAATGAATTCATTTTCTGATAATATTCCACTTATTACATAATTTAATAATTTTCTGCGGGAATTAGTTGTTTGTTGACTTTCCATTTTTTTTTTAAATTTATTACCAGATAATTTATAATATAAATGTAACAAAATATAATTTTTAATTTGCAACCATTGAAACGTAAAATTATAAATACAAAACGTTTTGTTGTCACATGTAACTTTACAACTACTATATATATATACTAAATATAGAGTACTAAAATATAGATAATTCCATACTAACATTCACACGCGCGCTTGCGCGCGCAACGTATACTAGTACAGACTATATATACAGTGTGAGACCTGAAGTTTACTGACATTTAAAATTTTTTTACATTTTTATAGCAATGAAATTGTTATGAAAAAAATTTAATAAAAAAATTCCACATGTGAAAATTAAAAAAAATTGTTAGTAGAAATTTTTTAAAGCATTTTTTTATTCTAATTGATTTTCTATGAAAATTAATTAAAAATATTGACAGTTGTCAGCTAACTTCAGTATCAACAGACATACAGTGTAGGTAAGTACTTAATTTAATATGGCAAGTAAAAGAGAAAAAACCCTGGAAGTAACTAGTGTTATAGGGACCGAGCCCGAACTGTAGAGGCAGCACATATGTCGGAAGTGGCGCACCCTGGTGTTAAATTTTCACAAAAAACGGGTAAAAATCTTGCAATTGTTAATGAAATAATCATAAAAAATAGGAAAAAATAGTTAATTACAGTTTTTAACGGGTAACAACCGATCGTATTCAAAGCAGAAACGATTGAAATTGTGAAAAAAATTTTGAACCTGTATATTTATGGAATCTAGTTGAAGAAAATCATTTAAATACCTCAGAAAACATGAGCGCTAGGTTATGGTTCACTTTAGTTGCGCTTCTATCGAGGTTATTTGTTTACCATTTTTCGACCGCGAACCACAGCCAGTCAGAGAAAAACATCAAAATTTCAGTAGTTGATTTATTTTACACTTTCAGCCCAGTGTAATTATATACTTTAAAGTATAACAAAATTATATTGATAAAAATATATCCATTTATTAAGATAAAAATTAATAAAAAGTGAAACTCATGTTAAAATTCAAAATTTTTGCCCGTAATTTGTACATTTAAGTCACCAGTTGGCGTGACAGTCTACAGGCTCGGTCCCTATAGTTAGAAATGAATTGATAAAAAAAAAAATAAAAAAGTGTATGTGTCACGTATATGTATGTGTATCTACGATATGATATGAGTGTAATTTATTCATGGAAATGAGTTCCACAAATTAGAAGGCCATGTTATTATCAAAATAACGTAAACGTTAAAGTAAAAAAAACTAAATCTGGGATAAAATAAATATTCAGGTAGAGAAAAAATAAATAAATTATAGTTATTATGACAAGTCCAGCAGATAACACTCCAGTGTCAGCTAAAATAAAAAAACCTTCAGGTAAAGTTACTGTTTATTATCTATTAACAATTAACCTTGATATGGATAACTTTACTTAATCAATACTTAATAACGAACTTGTTACTTTATAAAAATAGATAGTGCCTTCAAGCAGCAACGTCTTCCAGCCTGGCAACCTATACTGACTGCTGGAACAGTACTCCCGACATTTTTTGTAATAGGAATTGCTTTTATTCCCGTTGGAATAGGTCTTTTGCATTTCTCCAATGAAGTACAGGAAAAAGTTGTCGATTACACAGACTGCGTGTCGATAGACTCTAATAATGGAACTAAATGTTCTGACGTAATAGCTAATTACCCAAGAAAACCTTGTTTCTGTCATGTCAACTTTACCCTGGAATCAGACTTCCCCAGCAAAGTTTACATGTACTACGGTCTGACCAACTTCTATCAAAATCATCGACGCTACGTCAAGTCGCGGGATGACTTTCAGCTTTTGGGGACTCTCAGTAAGGAAGTAAACAGTGACTGCGAGCCTTTTGCATATGTTGAGGAGAACGGCAAAAAAAACCCAATTGCGCCATGTGGAGCCATCGCTAATTCGCTGTTCAGCGACGAGCTGAGTATCATCGCTCTGGACATTAACAATATGCCAGTTCCGCTGATAAGAACAGGTATCGCTTGGCCTTCTGATAAAAATATTAAATTTAAAAATCCTCCAGGCAATCTAGAGCAAGCTTTCGCTGAATTTGAAAAGCCTCGTAATTGGAGCAAAAAAGTATGGCAATTAGACCCTGATGATCCAACGAATAATGGGTTTCAAAATGAAGACCTAATTGTTTGGATGAGAACTGCGGCGTTGCCTAATTTTAGAAAATTATATCGAAGAATTAACCATACTGATTTGCATTTTAAAAGTGGTTTACGTCAGGGAAATTATCAATTACAAGTTAATTATAGTAAGTATATTTTTTTATATATAAATATAAATAATTTGCTGTTAAGTATTTCAAACAATTTCAAAAAGTCTCAAACAATTATTAAAAGGATAAGAATTATTTTATACTTATAATACATTATCAACTTCCGTTATAAAAAAAAAACTTGAGACTTCCGTTTGAACTAAATTTTTGCAGACTTAAAAACCATGACTCAATCAATAAATAATATTTTTTTTTTTCTAGGTTACTATGTATCATCATTCCATGGCAAGAAAAAAATGATTTTAAGTACCACATCACTCTTGGGCGGTAAAAATCCATTTTTAGGTATTGCTTATATTGTCGTAGGCTGTGTATGTTTAGTTTTGGGTATTGCATTATTAATTATACATATTAAATGTTCCAAAAGGTATGTAAAAATAATAAAAATATTCTAAATCAATCTTAAGATAAACAATTAACTAAATTAATACCCTGTTTTTTTTTTTTTTTTTTTTTTGAGCACAAATGAAATAATAAACGTAAATCAACATACGCCGTATCAATGAAGCCTTATTGATTAAATCGACTTGCATTGATTTGTTATTTTTGTCAAAGACAAACACTTAAGCACTTTGAATTAAAAATATTAATTTACAAAGTGCACGGATTTTATTTTAGTCCTGTTTATGTACAATTTAAATGACTAAATGCCTCAAGGCTTTTAGTAACCACTAATCAGTATATTTTTTATTATAATTTAAGTTAATATTAATAATGAATTTTAATTAAATTAAATAATTAACTCAACTTTATTGTAGAAAATTTAATATATTTTTCTTCTTTCACAAACTTGGATGTATTTACATGTTGTACAGATAAACCAACGATTTGCACGTAATTACAAATTACTACGATTTCAAATATTATTTACCTACTTATTAATCTTATAGTTATTACTATTATTGTAATTATTATTATTATTTATCAAAGAATTATAGTAAAAATAACTGAATAGTATTTAATATGTAAATTTAAATCAGTATAAAATAATTATTTAATTTAAATATAAACCAAAGGAATAAATTTTTTAATACTTATATATTGTTTATGAGTGTACAGAAAATAAATATTAATTGCTTTAAACATTTGAAACTTGAATTAGACTGTTATCTATCTCAATTGTTAAAAATAGAAAAAAAGTCACGTTAACGCGTACGAAATTTACACACAAAAAATGATAAATCAAATTAATAATGATAAAATCAGTATTAAAATCCTGATAGCATCATTTTTACTTTCATTCAAACTTAACGATAGTTATTATCAGTAATAATAATTTACAAAGATACTTTCACATTACTTCCATACTATTTTGAGAGGTTTCCTTGAAGCCTAAAGACGTTGGAGGTTCCTCCTGTGAACTGTCCTCCATGTCATGATTCGCACCCATTGAATCCATCGAGCCATTAAGTCTGTTTTCATTATCTCCAACACCTTCATTGTCTCCATTATCTTCGTCTCCATTATCTTCATTAGCAGGTCCTGTTGGTGTTCCATCATCCCAGTTTATTTTAAATCTCGTGACTCTTGGCTTGTCACCCAGGATATTACGTTGTACTTTCTCAAACTGTGGCTGCGCTGGTGGATTTTCACGAAGCTCGGGATCTGTATACTCATTATTTATAAAATAACCGACACGGACAAACTCGTGACCTCTGTATGAGCAGGTAAGAAGAACAACAGTCACTCCCAAGGCATCATTTACGGGAATTCTGCTTACATCTGGCGGGTCAGCCTGCAATTAATATGTTTTATTTAGCATCAATATAATTATTAAAGTTGACTAATCTTCATATAAGTAATTTACTCAGATAAACTTACTTGGAAAACAAACATGTGTCTGCCCTCAGGAATGGGTCCAACATAAATAGTATCAAGTACTTGATCAAATTCTTCAGACTCAGCACTACCAACGTAAATCATCTTCCATTCAAGATCTGGAAAAAAAAAAAAAAAAAAAAAAAAAAAAAAAAAAAAAATTTAATATTAACCAAAAAAGTTAAATCACCATTATTATCTCAATGATTATAATCGGTTTGTTAGTAATATAATAAATAAAGATGAAATTTACCTTCTTGCAGTTCTTCAATGCACTCAAATGTGACTTCAAACTGAAAGGGATTAAGAAACGGTGATGGATTATCAAGCACAGCAACGTTTGCCAATTGTACTTTAGCCATTTCACGTTCTTCAGCAATAAACTACTATAAAAACCAACACCTCCTTAATTTTTATATATTAAAAAAATATATTTGTATCACAATCAACGACCACTTGGATTTTGGTCAATGACAATTATATTAATTATATGTCGTATAAAACCGCCTGATTGTTAGGAAGCACAGTGAATACAAGAGTGGTTAAGAACACGCTGATGGTATAAACCGCTTTTAAGCTGTTGACGACGATGTTTGGCGGGTTCAACGGCTTATCTACCTCCCCGATGGCGGCAAAATTTTGCTCCATACAATTTTTCTTTCGAGATTACTTTCCTTGTGTCTAAAATTTATCCTCCAACGTAAGTACATCACACCACCTGTCATGTGACTTTTACATCAATTTATTTGGCAAATAAATTAAAAATTAACATTTTCAATAAATTAATCATTTAAAATAATTGCTCCTTACCTAAATGCCAATAATTTACAGCTTTTTCCAAAAATATTCATTTTAAAACATGTTATTTTAACATTTTCAAGCAGGTGACACCTTGTGATGTTATGTCCTCCTCCTGGTGGACAACGATAGAAATCTTTATTTAAATATAAAATTACCGACGTGGTCTTTGATTCGCCCGGGAATATAGAAATACTCAACTTTATCAACGGGAATTTATAGGATGAGGAAGATGTTAATATGTGAATATTAATTAAATAAATAATTGGACGGAATTAGATTAACTAAATTGAAGTATGTATTCAAAGGACTTTACAAAAAATTAGAAAAACGAGGTGATAAATCTGAGCTCGAATACTATTCTGGATATTCTTAAATATGTCTAAGTTCGACTCATATCACTAGAAGTGACTTTTGGCAACGTTGATTGGTCCTTCTCCTTCCTACTGGGTCCTAGCTGTGCTCCTACTCAGGTACTCGTCCTTTCCGACCGTTGTTGAACTACCTGGGCTCGCCAGCAGAATTGTCCGAAGTTTCATCATCCCTGGGAATTTATTGGACTGAGTGGTTGAGAACCGGACTCGTCATAAATGAGGGTCACTAATCGGCTCAGACTATCTTCTCGCATTTTTATACAGCATTTTATATTTTTTTTAGGAGATTAAGTTATATTTTCTAATTTCTATAGTTACTTAAGTCGAGAGCAATTAGGTAGTAAATTTATATATTTATGGCTTAATCCTCTTTACTATCTAATTATTCCTAGTCTATTGTGTTGAATTGTCAGAGAGTAAATGTACATTTTAACAATAACCTTTTTTACTAATAGCTAAAAGGTCTAGACCTAGGTTGCGGGGTTTTCCCAAAAGTTTCCTTATTATAAAAATAGATTTAATGTTAAATTTCCCGCTATCAAAGGGGTATCATCAGTGCTCGCCTGGCGGCGCCAGTCGCGATTCAACTAAACGGTGATATGACATCACAGTGTGAATAGTTGGGCAAGTGAAAACGTTGATAGAATGACCGGTAGATGTCATGACATTAACAGAGACGCTTGAAAATCTCGAAAATGCTCTGGATATCCATCTTGAATTGCATATTTGTTGACATAAAAAAAAAAAACGGCTGTTTCCCGCCAGGCGTGATCACGCACTAACATTTACCGCGCTTGGACGTATCGCTTATGTTTGTTAAATAAACAATTGATTTATTTAAACTCTGTCTATTATATTATTAAGAAAGTTTAAAGTTTAGTGAGTAACCATCGAGGTGATGAAAACAAAAGCCGGCTTAAATATTGACTTATTTATTTGGGAGTCTGATATATTTCTACTGACGCAGGTAATCACATGTCAACATCTACAAGTATTTTGTTAAAAATATATATCAAATATAGTATCGTTTTTAAATATAATGAATGATAATTATACTAAAGGGATTTTGGTTACAGATTAAAGTATTAAAATGCTGAGCGTCGCTTCAAATACCCCGACAGTTCACCACCATTACAAGGCTATCAGCCCACCGGCAACAAATGCCAATTCACGATCTCCACGTCGCCTATGTAAGTATAATTTTAGCTTAATAATTAGCTTGTTCAAATGATTAACGTAATTAATAATTATTATTTATTATTATTATTATTATTATTATTATAGTGAAAAAGGTATCCAAGACATGGAGGAATGTTAACGTTTTTTCAAAAAGCAAAGCCAAGGCAGTTGGAAATCTTATTAGAAAAAATAGTGCTCATTTTATTGGTTGTCAAAGTACAAGTGAAAATAACGAAAATAAAGAATTTAACTTAGAATCTAAGGTTAGAAAGGATTCGTCACTGGAGGACGAAGAATCAGCGGCTGTTGACGACAAAAGTACTGATAAATTGATACTTTCGGACTGTGAAGAGGTATCCAAGATTTACAATAAAAGCTTAGGAGAAAATCCAGCTGGAGTTGAGTCTACAGAATCTCAGGTTGATTCTAGTGAGTCTAAGAAACGTAAACGTTCGGTTTTTGGCGGTAAATTAGCCAACGCCACTAAATTATTAAAGGATAACAACAGCTCGGCTACGGCGATAAAACAATTGCCTGAAGAAAATAAAGGTGTGACTGTTAATTATGATCAAGCTGCTGCTGCAGTTGCCAACGTCGTAGATCCTTATCAGCATCAAAATCGAGATCAGAGTCAGCATTATTGGTCCGAGTACAATCAGATCCGGGACCACGAAGAAAAAAAAGATGAACGTGTTTTGAATAATTGGGGAGAAAACGAATGGTTCGACTCCAACACCGAGTTTGAACCAATCCAAAAGAGACTACATTATATGTCAGGATTTCCGAATCCACCTGGCGAGAACCGTTGTTGGCTCAACGCGACTCTTCATGCACTTTTTGTTCTTCCACTTATTGATAATTTCAATGTCAATGACAGTGTAGTAGACAGATTACCTAAATTGACAAAACTTTTGGTCGCTATGAAGATGCTTTGGTGCAGCGGGTACAAAAAGGTGGATGTGATGCACCAGACGGTTAAAAAGTTCAAAGAAGAATTAGCAATACTAGATGAAACGTATCCAGAGGAAAAACAACAAGACGTATCTGAATTTTTGATGATTTTACTGAATTACGTTAAGACCGAATGCGAACAACTGTCTGTCGAAACTTCCAAGACCGAAGAGGTGGAAAATGTCCCGGAGAATTATCAGGATTTGTCTAAAGATACGCGAGCGCCATTGACACCATCCAAGAGACCGCCTTTGGCGAGTTTGTCTCCACTGAAAACTTCCAATGCTATCACTAAAGCAATTGCGGAGAACGCTGGAGATTCAGTTGCTAAGACTCAAGTTCCAAAGATATTGCACAATCCTATTGATGAATGCTTCTTGCTACCAATGAGAGAGCATTATATTTGTGAGGGTTGCAACGAACATCGGCAACGCGACATTGATAATATGATGCTCTACGTTCCCTTGCCTGACAATGAATCTAATAATAATGATGAAGTGACCGTTATTCCTGCTGACGCTCCAGCAACACCACCACCAATCAACCTTTCGGTAGCAATTAACAAAAGCATGGAGCCTGAGGAACGCTGTTTAACCTGCACCAAATGCAAGTCCACAAAGCAACTCCGCTCGACGTCATTCCGCGGCTGTCCCAATGTACTGACTGTCCAGATTAATCGATACGGCGTGAACAATGATGGGTATTGTTCAAAAATCAACACCCCGGTGGAGATTCCAGCGGAGCTATCTGTTGAAATAATTAACAATGATGAAATTAACACAGGTGAAAATGAAGGAGACAGTACTCCTACAAGTACTGTACATAAATTTCAACTGGTTTGCATTATTGCACACGTTGGCTCGGCTATGGACTGTGGACACTATACCAGTTATGCTAAACATGACAATCGGTGGTTCCATTACAACGACATGGATGTTACACGGATGAGCGAGTCAGATGCTCTTGGTGCCGTTCAGAGAACAGCTTATCTTGTTTTTTTTGTTAATGTTAACTCATCAGAACCATTGACAAGCTCATCGTCTAATTTAAAACAGTTTGATAGTCTGTCCGTTAAATTAGATGATACTCCGTCGCAGTAGACAGTTTTGTCACTACACTTTTTTTGTACCTTTTATAAAAAACAAAAAAATTAAAATAATAATAATAATAATAATAATAAAAAATAAGATTAGCAATAGATTTCTATTGAAGTTAAAGTTAATCGTTGTAGCGCATAGTTTAAATAAATGCTTGATAAATATTTTATTTTTAAACAAAACTTGAAATATAATAATCATATTTTTATATATATGAGATAATTTGCGTATATCTGGTGTGCAAAATATATATTACTTTAAAAAATAATATTGTAATTTTGAAGAATAATAAAAACTTAAATTGTTTAATTTATATATCATGATAATTATTTTAATGTTGATAATATTTCCTATCTGATTATTTTTTAATTTTCTATAAATAAAATATTTACATGATGAAAATTTATGTTAAAAATTTTCATGTAAACTTTTTTTTTTATATATAAAATTATTTTGAATTTTCCTCTTCCTCGGAAGCACTGCGGACTTGATAAGCGCGGGAAATTTGAATGATTTAAAAAAAATGAAAATTTTGAAAAAATTTAAACGAACTTTTACATTTTCTAACGAATGAATGAATGGAAAAAAAAATAAATTATTTTTGATAAATAAGTAAGATAGATAAATAATTATTTATTGAGTGAAAAAAAGAAAATCCTAGATAATACTAGAGTGCGCTGTTGTTATCCTTAAAAAAAAAAATCTGTACTCGACATCCGGTAGAGCGCTTGAGATGCGCACGCACATTTGTGAACAATCTCTATCTCTCATATCGGACATAAAATTTCCCAGTCAACTATCTAAGAAAAGTATATTATTGTGTGGTGTTTAATAAGTTGAGACGTAAGTAAACAACGAGTTTTTTAATTTATTAAGCAATCATCTTTATTTTAGTTGTCAAAAATCCCGAGTTTCCTGAAATAAACCAAAGTAAACAAACAAAAAAATATATATTTAAATAAATAATTCGAGATACAGTACTGTGTGTTTAAAAACTACCAGTGAAAGGTACTGTATTGTTTTGAGTTAACCAAGATCAAGAGAAAAAAAATAAGGTTAAAATACTGTGATGGAGCTGCTTACTTTTTTTATAACTCTACTCTTAATATCAACGAATCAAGTGATATACCACCAGCACCACCATCAACATACGTCGTCCTTTAAAAGTTCTATATAACCAATAAATAATCGTGGTGTTGTGAAAAAATTGAGCTTACAGAAAAAAAATTAAACGAAAAAAAAAAAAAAAAAATAATAATAACTAGGCAACTTATAAACTTGTCCGTGGATTTTTCATAGTAGTTGCTGCCAAGAATCCTTGAAAAGAGAAAGAAGAAATCCTTTTCTCTTCCCCTCTTTTCTCTTTGTGCTCGGGAGTCCATTTAAATGTATACGTACGTGTAGACATAAATATATACGGAGGCAGTGTCCTTTGTATGTGTGAAAAGGAGGTAAACGACAACAAAGACAACGTACAAACGTAACAAGAGAGTTAGATAAAGTAAGAAATAGAATAGAGAGAGAGAGAGCAAGCGCAAATTGTTCATCGAAAAAAACGGCAACTTTTTTTAATACATTTGTTCAGCATATATAAATATAAATGCAAATACTTGTAACAAGGATAATAATTAATATGTATTTATATATTTTATTAATTGTTAATTAATAACTTTTGATAAACTTATTGACCAATGGATTTCTAATTTGTAGTTTGACTGGTGATCTAGCGTTAACTAGACTGTAGGGTGACGCTTCGTAGGAACATAAGGCCCCGTTGTCCCGTACAAATTTTTTTTTTTTGTTTTAATCTAATATATTTATGTATTTATATTTATATTTACTTATCTATATATACTGTTATATTTGTACAGAAACGTACGTGGATGTCAATAAAGTTTGTTATAAAACTCGTGACGGGTAAGAATTGTGACCGATCGTGTAGTTGAGAGTATTTTAGCTCATGCTCTGACGTTTCTCGTTCGGGAGTTGACCGTCATATATATACATGTATATTTAATATATATATATATATATATATATATATATATAAGAAACGAAACAACAGCTGTTTCATTAGTTATTGGGTACGTTGTGATTTTATCTAAATAATTATTAATTTGGAGCTATGTACTCTCTGTGTTGTTAAATATTCCCTGTGACAGGAGCTGTCAAACGTCAGGTTAATTTTTACACGGATAACGGTTTTGTTGGGCATCATGTTAATCTAGTCATTACTCAGTACCATTAGTCATTAGTCATTTATTTAGTTATTTCATATTTTATGTACAAACTATTATTTTTTTTATCACTATGACCTGTAACGTTGTTTTTTATTTGTTTTTTACAGAAATTGTTAACAACTGTTTTGAATATTTAACGATTCGTTAAAAGTTTATGGGATTATAAAAAAATTTATTTAAACTTGAGTGAGTATTTTAAATATTTATTTTTACTGATACTGATAATAATAATATTGTTAAATAAGTTTCATTGATTAATTATCTAAATAATAAAATATTTACTATTCGCAGGATTTATTAGCACAAATAAAAGTTTAAGATGTCGGTATTGAATTTGAGTGGTGACGATGCTGTCGAGTGTCCATTGTGTATGGAGCCACTGGAAGTCGACGACTTGAATTTCTTTCCATGCACGTGTGGATATCAGATTTGCCGGTTCTGTTGGCATAGGATTCGGACTGATGAAAACGGGCTGTGTCCGGCTTGCAGGAAGGCCTATTCGGAAAACCCCGCTGACTTTAAGCCCTTAACAAAAGAAGAAATTTCGAGGTATATTGTAGTTTATTATTTTAAATTAATTTTTTTTTTTCATTAATAAAAATTGATAACTGATTAAATGAATGGATTGATCCAGGTTGAAGGCTGAGAAGCGTTTAAAAGATCAACAACGAAAACAACGAGTTACGGAAAATCGCAAACATCTAGCGAATGTCCGAGTAGTCCAAAAAAATCTGGTATTTGTCGTAGGTTTACCGATGCGACTGGCAGAAGCGGATGTAAGTAATGTTAAAATTGAAGAGAACTGCTACTTTCGCGATGACTATTGCTAGTAAATTAATACACATCCTGTGAAAAAAGTGTTTTGAAAAATTTCAAAACTCTTACGGAAGTCTATGGCTATTTTAGTTATCGACAAAAATACACTGGAAGCCAACGCGATCATTTCTATGAATTTTAAACTCAAACTCACTATCGTATTTAAATAATTTGTAAATACGATAAAGTTTATGTTCTATTGATTCTATGAATAATTAATTATTTTATTACATTAGCCATAAAAGAAAGTACTTTGAAAGGTTATTTTAACATATTGAAAGTTTGACAATAATTATTATATTAATATGTATAATAATTATTAATGAAAGTAAAGATACTACTATTCCTTAACCTTTTTCCTTTTACCTGACACCCTCGAATCATAATAGTACTGACCATAAGTATTATAGGTATTAAAAAGGCACGAATACTTTGGGAAATTTGGGAAGATTCATAAAGTCGTTATAAATCAAAGTACTTCGTATGCGGGCTCTCAAGGACCTAGTGCATCTGCTTACGTCACTTATCAGGTAAATTAAAATTAATAATAACTAAAAAGTAATTTAATTATTTAGTTGAATAAAATTAATAATAAAATGAATTTATAATAAAAGCGTCAAGAGGACGCGTTACGTGCCATCGAAGCCGTCAATAATATCGTCGTGGACGGTCGAACAATCAAGACATCGCTGGGTACGACTAAGTATTGTTCGCATTTTATGCGTAATCAAGCCTGTCCCAAGTCTGACTGTATGTATTTACACGATTTGGGTGATCAGGAAGCGTCATTTACCAAGGAAGAAATGCATCAGGGTAAACATCAAGACTATGAAAGAAAATTAGTCCAAGCGCTTCATGCTCAGACAACAACGCCATTAAATCGGTTCGTATTTTATTTTTTATCTAAACAATATAGATTAGATTTAAAATTATCTGCAGTTAATACTGTCTTGGTCGTAATATTGCAATAAAAATAATTACATCATTAATTTTATTATATATTATTTTTTTATGTTAGGAAACCTACAATTTCACCACCAGTTGGCAATTCAATTCGTGAAAATGGTAGTACGTCTGTTATTCCAACTCAAATAAAAGAAGCATGGCCATCGTTACAACCTGGTCAACCACAGCAGAGTGTAACTCTGACAAAAGATACGTCAGCGCAAGTCTTGGATCAACAACAGCAGCAGCAGCAGCAGCAGTCGCAACATCAGCAACAGTCGCAATCAAATGACATGAGTATTAACAAAAATAGTAAATCCGTACCGTCAAATAGCAATGGTACGTCGCAACAAAATAATAACAATAAAGGTGAATCGGGTATTATTACGACGGAAAAAGGTTCTAATTCACGACGTGGTAAGAGTAATAGTGAAAGTAAGGCGCAAGCTGCTAGAAATAAACATAAAAATAATCAGAATAAAGAAAAACATGGTGCTGGAAATGTCACGCGTACAACATCACGGTCTGAGTCTAGTAATTCGTCGAATAGTAATTCAAATGGCGCTAACACAACACAATCACATACGATCGAACATTCGCAGCAGATAAACGGACAAAAATTTTTGAAAAATTACAACAGTGATATGATTAATGGTCAGCAACAGCAAACATCTAGGTGTAAAAAGAACAACGGAGAGCAGCAAATTAATTACAAAGACAAAGATATTGACAATGACAATGACAATGACAATGAATCAGAAAATGATCAACGAGAGATCAACAACGTCAGTGAAACAACGAAGGAATTGGAACAGTCAATGTGTGAAATAAAACTTAATGGTATTGAAAATGGTATTGGTGGTAATAGTTGTGGAAATTCAGAGAGTGAGAGTGAATTACTTCGTGAAGGTAGTACACCAGCGAGTACTGCTTCAAGTAGCAGTACTTCTGATGACTTGGGATTATTAAATACCAGCACTGATAGACTTATTGTTGATGCTAATGTCTCTGATGATAATGATGAGTCTGATTTAATACGTGATCCATCGCCAATTAACGGTACGAATTTAAATTTAAGCACCTCTACCAGTCAAGTTGTACCACCTGGTTTCTATAATAGTAATAACCATATTAATAGTAATATTAATGTTAATAATCATAATAATAATAATAATAATAATAATAATAATAATAGTAATACTGTTAGTAATAATATTATTAACAGCAGTAGTAACACGACAATTAATGGTACACAAGCACAAGTCAATCATAGATCAATTTTCCAGACAGACAACAATAGTTTCTTCAGTTCAAATACATTTCAAAAATTACCACCTAGTGTCATGTCACTGACATCTAATTCACAAACAACACCTTCAAATACCATTGATTGGACAACGACATCAACAACGTCTAATTGTTTGGCAACTATTCCTGACTCATTGCCGTCTGTTCACTCTAGCGAAGACTGGCAAGCGGCCTTTGGTTTTACTGTCGATAAAAGTCGAACCAATAATTTAAATCACCACCAACATAATAACCACCAGCATCAACGTCATCGTACACTGAGTCCTACATCGTCTTCATCGTCACCGAGTGTCGCACCGTTTAATACCGATAGCTTGTTGGATGAAGACGATTTTCTTGAAACACAGTACTCTAAGACACAGACTTTGTCGAAATTACATAATAATTATATCAGAGATCACAGTAGTGCACTTATTAATACGACACCGGCATCGAAATTCATGGCTGATTTTCAGCAGAACTCGTGTCAGCAAAGACTGTTGATGCAGGCCCAACAGAATCAAGAAAATTGCCAGTATATCAAGCAGAATGGTCACGCTATGGATAGTACAATTTTGATTAAGAAGGATCCAATAGATATTAAGTCTGATGATGATTTGGGATTCGATCCCTTCCATGAGACTCAGAAGGCGCTTGCTGAGCTTATGGAGAACGAAATTCAGGTGCAGCAGCAAAGACAGTTTCAGCAGCAGCAGCAGCAGCAGCAGCAACAGCAGCACCAGCAACAACAACAACAACACCAACACCAGCATTTACAACAAAGAAGAGATGAGCATTCTAGGAACTTGCATCAAAGCTATCCTACGCAAAGCTTAGCTCCTTCACATTTCTCCCAGGTTTTTATTTATTAATTAATTTTATTAAGTTACATTAAATGTTGAAGAATTTTTATTCATCAAATAATTTTTTTTTTTTTTTTTTTAACTTAACAGGTAGCACATTTAGCACATCTTCAACAGCAAGCACATCATCTACAAAATCTTCAAGTACTACAACAATCGCACACATTATTATCACGTCTTCCACAGACTATGCTGCAACAACAGCCGACAAATAGTGTTCAAACAACAGCACAGCCAACGATGTCTGTTGGAGGTGGTAACAGCAATTTAGGTGGTCAGCGTAGTCGTTTACCACCACCAGGATTTCCTAGCTCAACGCCTAATCATATGAATTCATTTGGTCTTGGAATACCACGAGTTGCGCCTACAAGCAATTCACTCGGTACCCAACCACCACAACAGACATCTTATCTTCCTAATGGTAATTACAAATAACTAGTTTAAATCAAATTTATTTATTAATTTATTATATATTTAATTTAATAGGTGTAAATAAATGTGTAAACGATGCAGTATATGGTCTAAAAGATTGGTGTGACATAAATCAACAGCAATCAGCACATACACAAACACATCAACCGTTTCATCATCATCATCAACAACAACAACAACAACAACAGCTTCATCAAAAAAGTAGCTGGAATAATTTAGGACCAATTACAGACTGGAATACTATTGATCCTGCTATTGTAAGCTCGCGCCCTTTACAATTTCAAGCGACAAGCACGTGGCAATTTCCTAGATTTCATCCAATTCACAATGGACCACACAATGCGCAACAGGTTAATTATATTTAATTTTTTAACTTGTTACACAATTTTATAGTTTATATTTGTAAAGTATACAAGTATTTACTTTTTTCAATAAGAAATTGAATTTAAATCATTGATTAATATAATATATAAATTGATTAGGAGACAGATGCACCCGTTCAACATTGGGCAATGCAACCACCGCCAGGATTCGGTGGTCCAGCATCAGGTGCACAGTTAAACGGGCCGCCACAATCAAGCACAGCTGCACAACCGCACAGTAAACTAATTTCTGCAGGGTCAGAAATAGAAAGTAAGTTTATAAGCAAATACTTTAATAATTAAACTGTATAAAAAATAAATGTTATTAATAAATTATTTAATTATAAATGCAGATTGCTAAATTTATTTGCCAACAACGAGACTGTTGTGTGTGATACGTCATTAGTTAAATATTGGAATAAATCTTGAATTTTCACTATTTAAATGGGACTGCGATATTAAATCAAGGCACCAGCTAATTTAATCTAATCGCAACATCCCAGGCTGACTTGTCATTCAATCAACATATTTTTAATTATCTCTCTCTCTCTCTCTCTCTCTCTCTTTATAATTAAAATAAAAAATGTACTATTATATATACTTGGCAAAAAAAATGAGTTATAATTGAATATTCACACGGTTTTAAACTAATTTGTGATCTTTTTATTATTTAAAAAAGGCGTTAAGTCGACTTTAATTTTTATAATCAAAATTCGTTTCTGTCACGTGATTATTTATAAATTAAAAGCAAAAAACATTACTTTAACACATTACCTTGTATATCTTTTCACTTGATGAAATGAAAATGATTAACAGTAGTTCAATATTAAATTTAATTAATATAGTAAATTAAAAATAATAAATAATTAATTAATAATAATTATTCACGTGATGGAATTGCAATAAATCATGGAATTAGCAGCGAGTACGCGTGCCTATATTATTTTTTCTTTTTAAAAGAATAGAAAATATATATATATATATATAATAATATGACTTGTAGATGAATTTTTATTTAATAGACAGGAAGTTGGAAAAGAAAGTTATTAATTAGTCGAATTAATGATTCAGTAATTGTATTTTTGTTTAAAAAGGCGTAATTTGTCTCACACAACAAGACTTTGTATAGTATAAACAAAAAAGATTAATGGAGGAGATAAAAAAAAAAATAAACTTGTGTACAAGTATTTGCGATAAGGTGCAATAAAAGCACTAAACTAATAATTAATAATTGCTAACTAACGATACAACGTGTAATTTTTGCGAGTTATCTCGGCGCGTTTTAACGAGATTAACTTGGCATTAAAAGAAGAAACAGATTTTAAAAATGAATAATGAATCACTGCGATATACTGGTGAAAAATATAAATATATATATATATATATAAATAAGTTTAATTATTAATATTATTATTATAATTATTATTATTATTATATAAATATATAAATAAATATATTAAATAAATTATCCATAAGGTGGTCGATAAATATACGATATATGAACGCAAAAGTTTCAATTAATTTTTTTTTATCCTTTTCTTTTATTAAATTAATAGCAAGTTCATTTTTTACTCATATTATCCAAAAGAGTTTATTGAAAAGATTATTAATATTTAATACATTTTTATAAACATGATTAATAAATATTTGAATACGGAGGTAAGAACTCAGTATCAGATTGATCAGTACTCTCGTTATTTTCATCATCTGAATCCCATTCATCGCAATAATGGCTCTCTCTTTCACCCCAGACTAAAGATGTACGTGTTAAGCCCCAAAAGGACTGTGGTTTTAAGTCACGTTGTGCTGCTGTGAATCTCCAGCCCATATGAGATCGACATCCACCACAATGAGCTATTGTCCATTGATACCTACCACCATAAAAATTTATAAATTTTTTTGAGTATTTAATTTGTTTGATTAATAGTAAAAAAAATTACCCAGGAAACCAGCTGTACTCGGAAGAAGGTGGTGCGTTATCAAGTACCAATGACTGAGCTTTATGAAGAGTTATTGTTTCATGTATTGCTCCAGCAGGATTACAATAAGCACTTTGGACTCCTTCCTCGTTCATTTGGAAGACGTCAGTTTGCTTGGCAACTTTGGCACCACATCTCTTACAAACAAAGACATTGTTAGCCAATTTACGGAGTAATTTTTCTTCTCTTTGCAGTCTAAGTATCACACTATCTATTTCCAATAGAGAGAGAGCAGTCTTGGGTGTTATTACTAGATTCTGCGCTACCCAAAATGATAAGTCTGTTGGATCACTTGGAATGTTTCCTCCCTCTGATAATAATAAAAGTTCAATAGTCGTAATAATTTTTTAAATTTTAATAAAAATAAATTTTAAATTAAACATGGACTTACTGGACTCTAAAAATTTTAAGTAATTATGAATTCTCGATGATAATTTTTTAGGATCATAAAGATTATAAACCCAAGAAGGCCATGGAGTTATAGCAGAATCAATCCTCGAAACTTTATTGAGCCTTTTAATATTAGATCCTCCGCGTAAACGATCTAAAGACGCAATCCTGCATTGATAATTAGGTGGTCCCAGTTCTATTTCCGGAAGAATTTTGACGTCAGCAACAGGAATTCTTCCCGTAATCTTGAAATCAAAATTACAAAATCATACAAGGATCTAAAAAAATTCACCAAGTTGATTGTTTATTCCTGCTGAAAAACTTACATTTTTCATACGTATTATTTTAAAACGCTGTCTTCCTTTAGCTTTAACACGTACTTCGTCCAGTCCCTGCATACGAGACTCTTCAGTATACTCGTAAATCTCAGCAGTTGTTCCAATACTATTTACATTTCTTATGCAGGCCACTCCAAAAGTACGATCCTTGGCAATACATTGACGTAACATATCAATAGGTCGCGAATTACGTTCAACGATAGGTAAAGTACCACCGGGGAAAAGAACCAGCCATTTTAGCCACGTCGATTCTGGAGGCCAAAGAGGTAAGTTTACATAGATCCCGTTGTCTAGCAGTGTTCTACCACGTAATACTTGTAAGTCGTCACCTAAGTACTGTCAATTTTAATTATTTTATCCTTATATATTTTTCAGTTTATAATAAAATAAAATAATTACACCTAGATTAGGTGACACTCGACAATTTTTTTATTTTTTTTGAAAAATAAACTAGGCCAAGAAAATTATTTTTAAAAAATTGTATTTATAATTTTTTAAAGCTTCTAAAGATGGAATTTTTATAATAAATTTTTCTTGTCATAATTTATTTGTTAAAAAAATTCTAAAAATTATCTGACGTCTCTTAATTTAAATATCAGAAAATAAAATAAAAAGATTCCATAAATTAAATGCGAAAACTTACTGAGTGAGATGTAGCTAATGTCATATCAAATGTATTATCTAACGGCATCTGGGAGTCTAAAATCCATAAAGAAAAAAAAAAAAATAATAAATGACCAATGACCAAATTAATAAATTATTAATAAAAATTTACCATCATCTACATTTAAAATTTCATCATCCTGCTCGTCCTGGTCCTCAATAACCTCCTCCAACTCCATTCTCACCAGAGCAAACACTCAATAAATCAATCAACGACAAATATAAATTTGTATACAAATAAAATTTTATTTATTATTTATATCATCAATATAATACATACAATTAATACACACACAAGATGGTCGTTAATACAATTACAATTATAAATGCCAGTTTACAAAGTACAAAAGTGTATAATATAAAAATAAATATAAATATACTATTGAAAATCGAAAAATTCATTAAAAAATGGCGACTGAGGCGACTGAGGCGACTAAATGTTAGAGATGAAAATGCACCTTAAAGTCGAGGACTCACGAAGTAGGACGAAATTAATAAAAGTTGGACGAATGGCATGGTTCGGATTGTAGGAGAGGGGCTACGGGTTTGGTGATAGAGCCGAAGCAGAAAGCCGAGTATGAGGCTCTGAGCACGTCGGCAGCACTTGAGAGGCAGGGAGGGCTTGACGAACGAACCAAGTCACTCAGCAGTTCGGTGTCGTCGCCATTGCCAGTGCGTTCTCGCCCTCGCTGGCCCTCGCATCTAAGTGAGACTCGTGTGCGGCGTGGAGACGACTCAGGACTACATATATATTTATTTATATATATACATCATATATGTACATATATATACGATATTTTATTGCTATTATTATTATTAATATTATATATAACTGATATAATTATACTAAAACATATTATCACATATAATTCTGAACACCCACAATTCCTTCCTGTCGAGGGCCTTCTGTGTGCCCTACCGATGCAGAGAAATTGCACCGAACTCACCGAAAGATTGTTGAAATCCCTTGACAAGGAGTACAATGTAAGTAACGCGCGGGTTTTTAAGCCGCCGATTGATAAATTGTTAACCGTCGCGCTGTTTTAAATTAAATAATTATTATATTTATAATCGTTTTAAATTAAATTAATAATCTTAATTGTAAAAATAATATTTATTGTAGATGAAAACTCAGTACACTTGACCTAACCCTAGATTCCGATAACGAGTTTTACCTACGTCCTGATTGTTGGAGATCGTTGGATCTGCTGTTTAGTTACAGTGCTCGTAACTCGGCTGTTGCTGGTATCAGCACACTACATTCTACAGTTTAAGTTCTAACTACGTCGCCGTCCGTTCAGGCAAACGGCTATCGGGCCACTCTCGCAACTCTGTGCGCCGTGTGCCTGTACCCGTGGCGTGCGCTACACTCCAATACAATCAAGGATAAATATGTGTTACATGTCATCATTCGTGTCTACCGTTTTGTGTTAGGTCTGTGTACTGTGCCACTGACACACACACACACTCACACTTATTAATACTCCAAGAGTGTGTGTGCGACAATCTACAACATTTACCAAATGACCATGAACAAATATTATTTTTACAATTAATCTACCTTTTTTTTTTTTTAGATATTCGGGTCTATTTTTCTGAAAATCTTTACCTTGGACTTGATTTTTTAGTTTAGCTTATTTCATTGGCTTTATGTAGAGTTGGACATTTTTTTTCTCTTACTAATCATATTAAATTTCCAATTTTATTTTTCAACTACAGTCAGTTGATTATTATCTTTTAGATATCACGGTGATAAAAGTTTATTAATTTTAGGTTTTGGAGTCCAAGCTGTACTTTAATTACCATGTATTTTTTACTAAAATAATATTTAGTTTAGTAATTGATAAATAATATTTTACAGGTCGTCGACATGGGAGCCGTCGTGGATGTCATTACGGCCCTGGAGAAGACGACTATTACTAAAGAAGTGCTTGAGGTATGTATTTAAACGAAAAAAAAAAAAAAAAAAAAAAGTAATTTATGTCGGATACTTTAAATAGTTTGTCAATGAATAAATAAATAAATAAATATATAATGAATTTTATTAATTAATATAGATCACACGGCTGGGTAAATACATCAATGAACTTAGACGAAAAACAACAAATGATGCTTTGGCGAAACGTGCTAAAGATCTGGTTCGACGATGGCGTGACATGGTACTCCCGTCATCAAATCAACAACAGCATGGATCATCAAATACAGCAATAGCACCGCCAAATGCCATTATTGATAACACCTCGTCACACCAAACATTAAATGGAACCAAACCAGCAAGTCCATTGATAACAGCAGCACGTACAATAAAACCTCGTAGTCCAGTACCGGGATCAGCGGCTTCGCGTATTAAACCGCAAAGTCCATTAATGCGTGATGCAATAACATCTAAAATAATAAGCCCAGCGTTGTCACTAAATAGTGATTCATGTTCACCAAATTCAACACCTCTTAAACTGCCAATAGTTACGACAAATTATAAATTAAATACAGCTGGTTCGCCAAAGTTAAGTGGTACCAGTAATCAGAATCATTCAATTGAAGCAGTACCAAGAACTCACAGTTCAAACAAACGTTTACGAAAAGAGGATCATTTTCAACAGCAGCATGTTAATTCACCTCAGCAGTACGATGTAAACTCGACTTCCAGAGACGAGCTTACCAGTATTTCTATTCTAGCTGCTAAAAAACAACGTATTAATGGCGATCTAAACGTAAATACTAACTCGCAAGTGCCTAATAGCCCTTCTTCGTCGTCTAGTACACGAAATGAGCTTAATGTTAATCCTGTTTTGGACCCGAGTTTGTCTAGTAACACTTATTCACCGGCTGTTAAAGTTGAACCGGTACCAGTACCAGTAGGACCAAAAAAACGTGGACGGAAAAAAGGCAGCAAATCATTAAAAAGCCAATCACTGTCTGAGGATCGTGTAAAGGAAAAACTCGCAAGTATATCAAGGAATCCAAAATTGAAAACAACTCACGAAATTCTTGCAGATATACAGGTCCGGAATGTCACTGGCGCGCTGGGTGCCACAACAGCAGGCCAGTTGAAGCGTGAACCACCGACAACAGAAGAAGTTTTACGAAGTTCAGAGATAAACAATCGTAACCTTGCCTCAAATAACAATACACGTACGAAAAGTTTATCTGGAAATCGTATTGAATCTCGTTCATCTGCTGGGAACAATACTGTCTCTGGTGTTGCTGGGTCTGGTACTGATCACGCAGTGGTTGATGCTGCTGATGTAACTAAAACTGAACGAGCTAGTGAACCAGCAGCAGAAGCCCCGTCGATAGAAGCAACGGTCAAAGAAATTCTTGCTACATTACCGCCGCTGGATCTTGACGCTATCAGGTGGAGTGATGATGAGTACTCCACTCACGATAATGATCACGATGAAGACCACAAGTTAAGACAAATAGACGATAGCGCTGTCGATCGTCTTCATAATGAATGTATTGAAAGTTTGAATGGTAATTTTCAAGCTAAACTATCAACAAATTCTGTAGAAAAGGAGGTAGTTGATGACGTTGATGAGTTTGTTAATAAGAAAATGATTGGTGTGTACAAACGTCGTGTTGTTGATGACGATACGGACCGTGAGTTTCGAGAGTGGCATGAAATGCTGGCTAGACCCAGCTACGATGGCCAAATTCTCCACATATTGCCTTACGTTATCATCGATTAATTATTATTATTAGTTATTAATTATTATTATTATTATTATTATTATCATTATTTGATTATTATCTAAGTGCATAAGCAATTTTTTTTTACATTAATCGTATCGTAATAAATCGCGAGTGAATTCAATTTTTGTTTTTATTTGTTTTTATCCATAAATAATTATCCGTTTTATTTCAAGTATTTAGTCTTCCTGGTAGCAAAAATATATCGCGACAATTGGAAATACGATTGAAATGTAAAGAAAAATAGAAAAAAAAAAAAAATATTTTTGAATGTCAACTACTGCGTTAAGGTGTACATTTCATACAATAATAATTTAATTTGTCATTAATAATGTACGTGAGTTTTTTTTTTTTTTTTTTTTGCAGCCGATGATTGTTTTATTTTCTTTTTTCTTAAGGTTAAATTAATTATTTGTTTTGATTTTATTGATTTTATTAATATAAATAAAAAAAAAAAATATCTTTAACTTCTTTATATATTGAATATATATAAATATATATAAATGTGTAATAAGTACATTGTAAATAGTAGTTTGTAAAAGATATTATTGTTGTCCGAAAGGGCAATAATTCTCAAACACTCGAGTCCTACGACGCAAATTTTATATTTAAATAAATAATTAAAAAAACAAAATTAAATATTTAAATGTATATCTCTATCGAATAATGTCTATCAGACGAAGACTGAAAGAGAAATAATAAATTTAATAAATGGCGTGTGGGACAAAATAAACAATTTTTAAGATGGCAAAATATAAAAAAAAAAAAACTGATGAAAATTTAATTAATTAAAATTTTTAAATAAATATATATGTTTGCAATGACATGTTCAATTTATCTATTACATTTATGTATGTATCAGTAATTGAATACCAATCACATGCGGACATGAAGCAAATTTATTTTTTATTTTTAATAAATATTTTATAAAATCTTTATTTTCAATTTTAAGGTGCCCTTTTTTGACATGTTAATTTACAAGATCTAAAGTTTAGTTTCAATTTTAAATAACAAGTAATATATAACAATAAAAATAAATTAATAAAAAGCTTATGTCCGTTTATGTTTTAAAATAAAAAATCAAACACTTGAATTTAATTTAAACGTGGGACGTAAAAAAAAATAATTGTCTGCGTTCTTTAAATGAACGAACAACAAAAAAAAAAAACAATAATATATAATAAAAAAAAATATAATATTTGTATTTCTCATTCAATATAGTTTTTTGATCAATCATACGTCATTATTTATTTCATTTAACACACAAATATAAATTACCTATAAGTTGTAAATTATACCTAAATTTAAATATTCGCGGGCTTTTTACTAAGCGCGCCATTTAAAATTTTCTAACCTGCTTTCATCCATGTGCGCTGCAGAAATTCTTATGTTTATTTATTAATTACTAGCCGATTGAGCTTGAGTAATTGCATTAAAATGGACATTAAAGACAACAAACGAAAATGGTACAAACCAGCGACCCATTATACAAAAAAATCAAAGTATTCAATCGAAGTTGGATTGAGTGGATTCCTTTGTACTTGTAATTTTCGAGAGAAAGAAAGTATCAGAGATGCATACAGATTATTAGAAGAGTACCATGGAGATTCAAAAAAACTTGATGAGCAGAAGCAAGATGTTAAAGATAATGGTGTTGCTGACAAGGTAGATCAGGAAGATGAAGACATTTCAGTGTCATTGAGCAAAGAAATTGAAGAGCTTAATGATCAGAAAAAACCTGACTCAGTTAAAACTTTTCAGGTAACTATTTATTTATTTATGATGATACTAATACCAGCAGATATTTGACAATTATTTTTATATTTATTCTAAATCAATTATAAACAAAATATTTTTCATTGAATTTCTTTTAGATTTCTAGATTAAAAATTTTTTTGTAATAATTGAATTGTTATAAAAATCTAAAAAATTGTAAGATATTTATTTTAGTATCATTATTTATTATGACCATTTTTTAATTTTTTTTAATAACTTACTAGGACAATTTTTTAATATTAATAAACTAGGTCTAAAAAATTATAAAAAAAAAAAATTGCATTTATTATTTTTTAGAGCTTTTAAAGATGAAATTTTTTAAATAAATTTTTCTTGTTAAAATTTATCAGTTGAAAAATTTCTAAAAATAATAAAATGTCTCTTAATTTCTCAATATCATTCAATTAATTTATTAACTTTTTTAATTTTATTTTTCTTTAGTACCTTGAAACCGGAGTTAAAAATCTTATTTTTATAAGCACCAAAGTACCAGATTCGTTGGAATTAGGCTTGAAGATTATAAAAGATTTAGCTGAGACCAAGAAACAAAAGAGTAGATTTTTGTTACGCTTCATACCTATTCAAGTTGTTTCAAAAGCTAACATTAATGATATTACAACCAAAGCCACGATTTTGTTTGAAAAATACTTTGCTCAAGAGCCGAAAACTTTTTCTATTGTTTTTAAGTAAGTCTTTTTTGTATTATTTATTTTTAAATCATAGTAAAATTTAATTTGAGAATAATTATGTAAATTTTTATAGCCGGCATTGCAATAATACAATCAAAAGGGAGGTAATTATTGAAGCGTTGGCAGGAATCGTATTTAAAAAAAATCCAGGAAACAAAGCTGACTTGAAAAACCCCGAGATTGCCGTTATTGTTGAAATAATCAAGGGCTGGTGTTTCTTGGCAGTCGCGCCTGATTATTTCAAGTATAAAAAGTACAATTTATTTGAGCTTTGTAATGACAATAAGGATAAAGCTGAAGTGAGATCAAATGTTGCCAAAAAGGATCAGGATCAAGGCAAGGAAGCTGATGAAGATATCAGTAATCAGAAGGCTAAAGATGAAAATAATGAAAAAGTAGAAGATCAGGGTCAAGCCAAAGTAGCTGATAAAGAGGATCAGGATCAAGACAAGGAAGCTGATCAAGATATCAGCAATCAGAAGCCTAAAGATGAAACATCTAGTAATGAAAATAATGAAAAAGTAGAAGATCAGGGTCAACCCAAAGAAGCTGATAAAGAAATTGTTAAAGAGGATCTTGAGGATAAAAAACAATAGTTATTTTTATTACTTTCATATTCCATTTATTAATAAGTATTTAAATATTTACTTTATATTTAACTTTACTTTAAATACTTACTTTATAATAATTAATATTAAGTATTCATGATTATTTATATACTGACTACTATAATTTAATAGCAGTTATTGAGTAGCTGCAAAATAAATAAAAATACTTTCAATTATTGAATTTATTATGTACTTACTTTCTTTTTTAAATCGTATAATAGTATACGTAATAATAAAAATATCAATGATAAATATATTACACATGAAATCAGTCAGTTATTTCTTGCAAATAACAGTCATAGAATAAAATACGATTTGCAACACGTCAGCCCTTTTGACGTATTTATGATAATTTTTTAATATATTTATTGTTTTAAAAATTCAAAACAATTCATTCAGCTGTTTTAAATATTTGACAATAAAAAAATTACTTGTTTATCTTTAGATCACACGGCAATTAGCTTCAATCATCAACATTGCTGATTTACCATCATTATAATACTTGTTATTTACACATTAATAATAATAATTAAAATTTTTTGATCGTTAATTTTTTATAAATAGGTCGATTGCCGTTTTGACACGCTTACTTTTAGTTATGGCAAAATGAGAACCGAAAATATGTCCGGTCCCGTAGTGTAGCGGCATCACATTGGACTTTGAATCCAATAACCCGAGTTCAAATCTCGGCGGGACCTAACTTTTAATTTTTTTTTTTTTTTTTTTTTTTTTTCTCAAAATAATTATCAGACAACTGTTGCATTTTTTTCGTTAAAAATTAATATCGGCTGACTTAAACAAGAAATTTTTTAAAAAATAATTTGTCATTAAACTAATTTTAGTAGGACGGGTCTCCTTAGTTTCCCTGAATATTTAATTTAGTTTAAAAAAAAAAAACGAATTAAATTTATTTACACTTTTTATAATATTTTTATTAGTTTAGATATTTTTTTTATTGTTTATGTTTATTAATAATTTTAAACTTGAAAATCTCGATGGAGACTCTTGTCATTAGAGTTTACTATACCAGCTCTGGAGGTGTCAACATGTTCAAGATTTTTAGAATTTTTATTTATTAAAATTCTACTATTTATCCATTGTTCCTATTTTAATAATGTTAATTGTACACAAATTAATAATTATAAAAAAAATATTTTAAAAAATACGCACTTATAGGTAATTTTTAAACATTTTTCCATGTAGAATTTTTCTACAAAATTTTTTTCATCATAATTTAATTGTTATAAAAATTTAAGAAATTGTTAGATATCTGTTAAATTCAAGATCATAAAATTAAATTTACCGCTACAAACTTCTTCGCAAGTGACATCTAGGTAAATTGCCCTCACTAATTCAAGACCTCTAGCCACTGATTTAGTGATCCCTGCATTGAATAACAAAAAAAAAAAAAATGGATGAGCTTTGTAACTGATGTATAAATTATAAAAACTAAAAAAATATTGATAACAGAATAGTTTGTGTTTCTAACGTGTAAGTGAATTGTCAAGAGTTATTTGAATATTACAGATATTTGTAAGTACTCGCATAATTTTTTTACCAACGATAACCTATTAATTTTGTAATCACAAGCTTATTTGAAGTTTCATCACAAATTATAATTAAATTAGACTGTTTTTAATTTTTATAGAATATCGTGAAAATGGCAGCGCGATTATTGAAAGATCCAGCAACGGCAAACTGTCGTGTGTTTGTTGGTCACCTGCAGTCCGAAGACATCAGTAAAATGGAGTTTGAACAGCACTTTTCAAAGTACGGTATGGTTATTGGATCATTAATAAATCGTGGCTTTGGATTTATACAGTATGAAAATGAAAGTTCTGCCCAAGCCGCTATACAGAACGAGAACGGGCAAATGTTTAAGGGAAGAAGGATTGATGTTAAGCCCGCTAAGAAAGACAGTAGTGGGGGAGGAGGTGGTGGAGGTGGAGGTGGAGGTGGTGATCAGAAGAATAATTTCTCATCACCCCGTGGTGGCGGTAATCAAAGCTTCAATCAGAAAAATACAAGCTTTAATAATTTAAATTGCGACACTTCGTTTGACGATAACGATAACAAAAACTCGGGTAATTCGGGTCACGATGGGTTTAATTCCAATGATAACAATAATCCTGATGATGACAATGTCAATGAATACCAACAATTTAATTCAAACCAAAATGATTCGTTTAACAACGGCAATAGTGGAGGTAGCGGAGGTGCTAGTAACAATAATCAAGGAAAAGATAATAAAGAGCAGTTTAATTCAAATAATCAGAATAAAAATAATACTAATAACAATAATAATAACAATAATGCGAATCGTATGGACGAAGATAATAGCAATACCTCATCTGGATCACAAAATAATCGCAGCGGAGGTAATTTATTTATTTAAAATATATTTTTAATATAAATTTATATTAATAAATGTCATTTTATTTAGGCAACCAAAATCGACCTGGTAATAATAATAACAATAATAATAATAATAATAATAATAATAACCGTAATCAAGGACAAGCTAATCCTCGACAACGTGGAACTCGCGGTGGAAAGAATAGAAACAAGAACCGGGCTGGGGGCGGGGACAATTCAGGAAATTTCCGAGATCGCAGTCCACTGAATCGCGGCCCGATGAACCGTGGTCCTGGAGGTCCAGGAAACGACGATAAAAATAACCGGGGTGATTGGGGTGACCACAATATGATGCGTAATAATTTTAACCGAGACAATTTCAACGACAACAACCGTTTCGATGATCGATTCAAAGACCCAATGGGCATGGGAGGAGGAGGCCCGGGTCTTGGTATGGGTCTAGGAGGTCCTGGTATGGGACTCGGTAATCCCGGTTTAGGTGGGCTTGGTGGTTCTGGTCCGGGGCTTGGTGGTCCAGGACCTGGTGGGCCTGGTAACTTTGGTAGAATGGGTGGGCCAAGTGATTTTCCCATGCCTCAAGCTGCTCCAACTATGGAGAAAAATGACTGCGAAATTATTGTCGTTCATAAAAATTTGACTGAGTACGCTGAAGCTATTGAAGCGCGTCTAAAAAAGATGGGACTTACTGTCGATCTTCTATTTCCTAATGAAGAAGTGCCACTGAGTCGTGTGCTTGGTAACATTGCCAATCGTGGGTGTCTCTATGCTGTCGTTATCATGCCAATTAACATGGAACATCATTCATTGACTCTGAATATTCTTCATGGATTACCTCAAGGTATTTTATCTTTTTAAAGACTATCAACTTTTTGATTATTAATTTAAAAATTTTTAATAATTTCAGAGCACAGAAACATGCCAACAGAAGACGCATTGGCATTAATTGGTCGTGACTTTAGTAATTACAAATCTGGTAGTCGCGGAGTGCCATTTAATACGCCATTTGCAAGTGACAGACACCCAGACGCGATTCAAGTTCTCCTCAATATGTTGGCAGACAATCACCAGCTGACTGTATCACAGTACGAGCGTGTAATAAAATACCTTGAAGTAAAGCGCGAAGAACAAGTACAAGTTGAGTTGGGAGACGCTAAAGATTTGGCTGGAAATTCTTTGGCTGCTAACGATCCAAAGCAAGCTGAATTGCAGTCCAGAATTTTAAATATATTAAACAGTAATAAAACAAATGCTCCGGTACCAAGTCCTGTACCAGCACCGGCGCCAGTACCAGCGCCACTTTTGCCAGGTAATTTAATAAATAACTTTTTTTGTGTTTTATTTAAATTCATGTCTTTAAATCACAAACTCACTTTTCCAAACATACATCAAAATTGATCTCACGCATGAGGTTTTTTTTTTAATTTTCATGGAGCGCTATGCGCCCATTCGCGTTTTTATTTTGGCGATTGAAAAATTCGGATCAGGTCAAATAATTCGAAAAATTTTTATCCAGATCTGGAATTTTATTTTTACCAAAAAATTATCCGGCGTCGGTGATTGCTCGAAGCCTTGTGAATTTTTTCTTTATTTTAAATCACAAGGTAGCATACTTTTAACGCGGGTGAAATTTAACGGGTGTGATTTATCGCAGTGGTAACAACATTTAAACGTAATTTATAAACTATATAATATTAATTTATTTCTTTATTGTTTATTTTTTTATACTTGAACTATTTATATATATATAATTCAGGTTTAATTAAGATATTTAAAAAAATGTGTTAATAAATCGTGTTGTCAGTACCAACAACAGTGACGTCATCCTCAACTTCAACTACTGGAACAGCGGCAGTAACTCCATCGCCGCTGCTGAATGATCCTACAGTACAAAAAGCTCTCGACAGTCTTCTTCAAGGAAACTTATTGAAAAGTATCGGGGATTCGCAGCCTGCTTCTAGTGTCACTTCATCTGCTCCTCAACCACTCTTCGCAGCATTCTCAAATATAAATCGTTTCTAATCATCTGATTATTATTATTATTATCGACTACTATTTAAGTTCAAATAATTATTGTAACATTTTTTTAAATTTTCATTCAGAAATTTTTATTTTAAAATTTTTCTGCTTATTATAATTGTATACTTATATGCACCTTTCCCGTGATTACATTTGAAGCATGTGTGTACATTCCTACACATAATCAAACTTTTATTAAACAATGCCACATAGTATTGCGATGTGTGAATTAAATATAATCTTCTAAATTTTTAGTTAAGAGGATACTTTTATTAAATTAGAAAAAAAATGTTAAAAATTTTTTCACAATTTAATACGAATAAATGCTTGAATTTCTTCAATTTATTTAATTTTCCTTCAAAAAAACAAATTTTTTAAAGATTCCTCTTAATTAATTAAAACACTTAAAAATGGATTTGTCACAGTAATAACTAATAAATAAATAAATAAAAATTGTATTACTTAGTAAAAAAAAAAAATAATTTGTATTATATTTCCTCGTTGACTAAGGATCTAAAAAAGAAAAACAAATTAAATTATAAATATAACTGAAATGAATATTTATTTGTTTGCGCTAGCGAATGAAAGCAGAGTAAAAACAAAAGCCCAATAAATATAAACGGCGTAAGCATTAAAAAAGCAAGTAAGCAAATCAACCAATAATCTATTTACTCTTGTGTAATTTACCTAAATAATAACACCTGAGATATTGTACCGCGTGAAGAATTTCTTCACATGGTTTCGCTACCGTCGGTTCGCTGTAAAGAATTTCAAGTACTTGTTTAACAGCTTCAATGTCGTACTTGTTGTTTAATAATCTTTGTTTGTATGGTTTCAGCCGATCGACCAATTGCTTATTTTTCCTGATGGAGCCCACGTGCTTTTCAAGAATGGTAGCATACGTTGGCCAGTCATTAACGCAGGCCGGACACTGGCAATCAAAGTAATACTCTTCCATCAATTTTTCTTTACGTTTGGCTAAAGGCATGTACGAGTAATCAGCGCCGTACCCTGTAAATACTTGCTCGCCTGGATTTAATGGTTGCATTGCACGTGTTATCATCGTCAGGCCTTCAAAGTGTCGGAAGGTATTTGGAGCACACGAGTGGTTGTATAAACTATGAGCTACATACAGACCTGATCCAACTTTTATGCCTGGTTCTGGTTGTATCTAAATTTAAATTATTAATCAATTTCATTTTTTTTAGAACTCATTGAAAAGAAAAACTTACTGAAAAACAATTAGATGAAGTAATAACACAAGCTCTCAGCATAATACTTCCACAAAATTTAATATCCGGTACTTTATCAACATCTTTGAGCTCAGCTAGCTGGTACTTTTTACCAAAGAATTTAGTTTGTGTGGCTAATAACATAGCAGTGAGTGCCGAAATACAAGCAAATGCACTGATGCCAATTAGCGGGCGAGTTGTCATATTTGTGGCAAGACTTAATGCAGATCTCGCGCTTGTACTCTCTAAACAACCGGCATCAGTGAACCCCGCTGTTCTGTTGTCTAAAAATAAAATAAATTTTACTATCCATTATCTAATTATCTAAAAATAACACTTAAAAAAAACACTTAAAATTTATATAAATAAAGTACCCAGATTAGCTTCAGCAATCGCCATATCTTTACGCAAATCATCTATATTTTTCCCCCCAGATGTTACAGTAATCATCAACCGGATTATTTTCATAACCATACGAATTTTATCTTCCTCAACATTCAAGAGGTTCAACAGGACATTGACAACCGGGCACTCGATATGGTGAGCGAGTTTCCAGCTTGCTGAGCGGCATTTTTCCGAGCAGTACTGCGCTATTGGGCACTGAGAGCACGGTATCAAGCAGCTGCTTTTCTCCAGACAGTGATGACAGTGTGTGTAAAACTTGTCACGATAGATAACCCAGCAATAAGGCTTCTCAACGGTAAGAATTTCTCCCGGTTTAAAGTGTTGATTGGCTACTAGATGACGTCCATATTCTTCAGAATATTTAATACTCAAACCTTTACTATTTGCAGGAGCTTCTTCGCTCGGGCCATAGGGAACAGACATTACTTCAGGATTCAATAAATACCTCGGCTTGATAAATTTATCCTGATCATCTTCCTGCTTTATTTCTACGTCACTTATGTCTTTTTTGTCGCCATTTTCAATCGAATCAGTTATTATTAAAGACTCGATACCATTCGTTCCGTTTTGATGATCTTCATCTGATTTGCTGTCTTCACTGTCTTCTCTGTCTTTGTCTTTGTCTTGATTTAATTTAGTCATAGCCTTCAAGCCTCTTTCTTGTAACTTTTTACGCTTGTCTTCGGGATAGCCAAGTTCCAGAGCCGCCTGAATATCAATAATACACTCTTTGTACATTTTTTTTCGGTATAAAGCTGCTGAACGATTTGCACGAGCGTTTGCCATTAATTGATGCGTGTTTGCGTAAGCCAAAGATCGGGTGTAGCTTATTATTGCTTCTTGATCATCTCCAGCTACAAAATGCTGATTTCCTTTTTTTTTATAACATCAATTTATATTATTAAATATTTAATTTTAATAGATAATGAAAAGTAAAAGGAAAAAAAAAAAAGATATTTACCTTCATCGCGATAACGCAAACAATCTTTTTCATTTTTTTTATCAGTTTTAAAAGACGGCATCGGTGATTTGGCCATATTTTGTAGAATATGACCTACTAATGCTTCACTTTCAGTTTGCAAGCCATACCCTACGTGCGATTTATTTTTTTGCCGCATTCTTAACACTAATTCTTTTGCGAAATCCATTTTTAATAACTAATTTATTAAATTATTAAAGAAAAAAGAAAAAACAATTTTTTTTATGTAACTTTAGTATTAAATTTAGGAAAATACGTTTGCAGAAAGAGTGCTAAAGTAGTAAATAATTTTAAACTAGTAAAACTAGAGTTGATTAACTCGCGTTAAATGACTGTGGTTGTAAATGCTGAGACTAAAATTACTTGCGCAAGGCAAAGTTTAAATGAAGAATAGAATAAAGAGAAAGAAGAGGAAGCAGCAAAGAGATTAAAAGTAAATCAACGATACATACTCTAAATTTTTTTTTTTTATCAACATACTCAAACTTACTATAAATAATTTTTATTCTAGTCTAGAAAATTAATTTTGATTGATAGGATTGTTCTATTTGTACTGATATATTAAAATCTCAAAGGGCAAATAATCAAACTTATAAATAATATTAAAGTGTATGAATAAATCGATTGTTAAGTTCAAGTAATCCATTTATTAATATTAAAAAAATTTATTGTAGATTAATTGATTGATTTAGTCTTCTTCAGCTTCTAAATTGATGTGGCTACCAAATTTAGCGTACAATTGAGCTTTCAAATCGGTCATTACACTTTTAAGATCAGCGCACTTTGTTTCAAGTAATTTTATTTCTGCCAATTTTTTTTCTTTCGCTTCTTCTAAGCAAGCCTGCAAATAATTTGATATTACATTGATAAGTTCATGTATAATTAGATAGCTAAGAGAATGACAAACGTACCTGAGTCTTTTCAACGTCCTGGGATACAAATAAATCACCAATACGGTAAGGAATTTTAGCATCATCATCCATCAATGCTAATTCATCACTAGCATCTTGCAAATTTTTTAAATCGTTCTGTAAAAAAAAAAAATCAAGTAAAATAGCAGACCGGGTGTTTCCTTTTTTTTAGCAACAGTATTCTCACCTGCTTCAGCTTCAATTCCTCTTTTAAATCATCCATTTGAGCATTTTGCTTGGCAAATTTATTTATTTTCTGCTGATCTTCATACGAAATATGAACATCCGAGTCCTTAAAAATAAAATTATAAATGTTAAAAAATATAAAAAAATTATTTGGTTATTAAACATGTTTCAACAATAAATTAATAACAAAAAAAATTACCGGTTGAAATGCTCCTTGTGAATTTTTACCACCAGCCATTTTTTATATTTATTTATTTATAAAAATAAAATTAATAATTTTTGTGAGTGATAAAATATTATTATTTTATGTATACTTATATATATTAATTATATACAAAATGTATATATTTGGTAATTGAGCGTGTGCATACACATGAATAAAATCGCGTCGGTACTGTCATTTCTTCATCAGTCTTCTCTTTTTCCTTCAAGATGGCGCAGAGTTGAAATTATTAATAAAAAAATTCAGAATGATGACAGATGACATAAAATTACGTGTGTATGTGAAATTGTGATTAAAAAACATTGATTGCAAAACAAATAAAATTGAAACAAACATTAAATCCAAAAAATGTTTACATGGCTGACGTAAAAATGTCAAACTCACGTAATTCAACCACTTACAAATGGATTATACCACTAATATTATTATTAATAACTTCAGCAGCTGGAGATGACATAAAACCAGCAGAACGAAATGCGACATCCACAGCAGCACCACCCTCGACATCAGCAACAGACCTGGAACCACTGAAAAAAATTCTCAGCAGCAATCTCACGACAGCTGTCAACATAAATCTAGCTCCCAGTCAAAATGTAACAATCTCTCACGATGCCCAGGTACAAACAACTCTCAGTACTCCAAAAGCGACAACTACCACCCGATCCGAGCAAACTCCATCAATAAACGTCACGACTGTCTCACCAAGTGCAGTAATCAACAACACTAATGAAACAACGACGCCCAAGATAGACATAGTACCTGTTAATATAACAAACATAACATCGACAACTCCAGCGACCATAGAACCAGTGCTCCCGGCGAAAGAATCTGCTGAAGATGAACACAACAGCTCAATGTCTATATTTTTCGTCTTGTGTGTCCTAGCACTGGGTATTCTTCTCATTCACTTAATGTTGCAGACCAACTTCCAGTACTTGCCCGAGTCAGTGGTGATAGTCTTCCTGGGAGCAGCCATTGGGATGTTCATAAACTTCATGTCCCACAAGGACATTGCTAATTGGAAAAAAGAAGAAGCCTTCTCACCAACTGCATTTTTCCTCGTTCTACTACCGCCGATTATTTTCGAGTCTGGCTACAACTTGCACAAAGGTAACTTTTTCCAAAACATCGGCAGCATTCTGGTGTTTGCAATATTCGGTACAGCAATCAGTGCGTTTGTAATTGGTGCTGGGATTTACTTGCTTGGATTAGCACAAGTTGCGTACAAATTAAGCTTCGTCGAGAGTTTCGCTTTTGGGTCCTTGATATCCGCGGTGGATCCTGTGGCAACTGTTGCCATTTTCCATGCGCTGGACGTGGATCCAGTTTTGAACATGTTGGTGTTTGGAGAATCTATTTTAAACGACGCCATCGCTATTGTCCTGACCACTTCAGTTTTGGAATCAAACAACGGATCTACTACAGGAGATGCCATTATTCTAGGACTAAACAGGTTCTGCTTGATGTTCTTCGCGTCTGCTGGAATCGGCGTGGTATTTGCGCTGATAAGCGCGCTGCTATTGAAACACGTCGATTTACGTAAGAATCCATCACTGGAGTTTGGGATTATGCTGGTGTTCACCTACGCACCGTATGTTTTGGCAGAAGGGATACAGCTATCTGGTATAATGGCAATCTTGTTCAACGGCATCGTCATGTCGCACTACACCCATTTCAACCTATCGACAGTCACGCAAATTACAATGCAGCAGACTATGAGAACACTGGCGTTTATTGCAGAAACTTGCGTTTTTGCTTACCTGGGATTGGCGTTATTCAGCTTTCGACACCGAGTCGAGCCGGCCTTGGTCACCTGGTCGCTCATTTTGTGTTTGATTGGACGCGCGGCAAATATATTTCCTCTGGCATTGCTGGTTAATCGGTTCCGAGAGCACCAAATCACCAAGAAGATGATGTTCATTATGTGGTTCAGCGGACTACGTGGTGCTATTTCTTACGCACTGTCTCTCCATCTTAATTTCAGCGACGAAACACGACATGTTATTATCACAACGACTCTTATTATTGTTTTGTTTACCACACTGTTTTTTGGAGGGTCCACTATGCCGCTTTTAAAGTTCCTCAGAGCTGAGAAGAAATCAAATACAGGAATTATTGGTGGTGGTGGTGGTGGAAGAAGAAAGAAACGCGATAAGGAAATTTCATTGAGTAAAACTAGAGAATGGGTAATTATTTTTTTCAAATTAATAAATTGTATTTTTTTTTTTTTTTATATGATAAATTATTTTTTTTATTTTAGGGACAAACAATTGACTCGGAGCATTTATCAGAGCTGACGGAAGAAGAAATGGATGTATCTTTTAGACAATCTAGAATCGGTGGGTTTGCTCGCTGGGACTTGAAATTCTTTATTCCCTTTTTCACTCGTCGGTTCACGCAGCAGGAACTAAAGGACTGTAAATCGCAAATGACGGACCTAACGAACCAGTGGTATCAAGCGATAAGGATAAGCCCTGTGGAATCGGACGAGGACGACGAGACAACAGCTTCCACGGCACAGTTACACAATTCGGGCTCGGTTAATAAATCCGAGGGAAATGCACACGCAAATACCAGGAGCGAGAACCATTGTGTCACAGCCGGGGGAAAAAAAGGACGTCCAAATCGCCACGGGTCTATATTGAGTATTTAAATAGATATATGAAAGGGTGTGCCAAGTGTTTCAAAGCTATTATTGTGATGCTTACTGTATGTAAACGCCATACATTTTACGATTATTGTTATTATATATCATTCAAATAACAGTACAGAGTTTTTATTGAAACATCAGCTATTAAATTTTAAATACAAACTCTGCTTCAGTGTGTAACTAAAACTTGGGTTTGCTTTTAATTTTTAAATGCTTTAGATTTTACTCTCAGTGTGTAAATTTTTTTGCTTTAAAGGGCAGTCCGTGGCTATTTATTTATTTATTTATTTATTAATAAATAATTTAATTTTCAGTATTGATAATTTATAAATTAACTTAGAGTATAATTTTCAGATGTTACGAGGATTTATCAGAATAATTGACAAGACGATAAATAAACGAAAAATGAATCCAAAAGTTTAGTTTTTTAAAATTCTATAAAATATTTTTGCTAATTATTATTGTAAATATAAATGAATTTAATTTAAAGTTTTAAATTGTACGGCAGGCCGTCTTCACATTAATATTTATCTTTCTGCACGCACGTCCATAATTGTGATCAATTTTAGTTATATTATTTATAAATAATCTTTAGTATTAAAAGTCCATCACACTTGAAATCTAAATTTTATTTATATGCACAATTAAGTTATTTTTTAAAATGTGTACATAGAGTTGACTGAACGGCCTCAGGTTTTAATTATAAACAATTTTTATTTATATTTTATTAGATATTATCTTTATTGACGTACAAAAAAAAATATTAAATAAATAATTTTAATTATTCACATTTAAAATAATCTAAACAAATTGTATATCGACAATAAAGAAATTTATATTAAATAAAGTGTACTTACTTAACTTAAAAGCTAACGAATCATTACTCAAGATTAATTATAACAACATACTAATAATCTTTTGTTTTAATGATAATTTATTTCGTTAATAATTTAATCTTCGGGATTGCTGGTTGCACGGAAGAATTCTACGTAATAAAGTATTTATTTATTGTAATAATTGTTGTTTGTTTTTTTAATTATTATTGTAATTATTTTTTTTTTCTCAATGAATCAATAATTAAATGTCCATATTATTTAATTGGGCACATGTGGGGAATAGGCAGCATCTACAAAACACCAACGTTTGTCGTAACCACTCACATCATTTATTCCACTATGTAATTACTATTAATTAATAATTTATCAATTTATAGTTAATAATTTTTTATTTGATTAATATCCTCCTAACTGGAGCAATTATTTAAAATGATAACTATTCAAGTATTGACTTAAAAAAATTTTTTCAAATCAGTACATTCAAAATATAAATAACAAATTTTTCAATTACAAATAAATTGCTCCAGACGTATTTTTTATTTCTCTTTAACGGCAAGTATTAATTGCTGATTCTAATTACGTGATCAGGGAAATCTATTCACAACATAAATTTATTATTCTTTGCTTTTAAATCTTAGTTAATTAATTAATTATTGATAATAATAAATTTTTTATACATAAATGAATGTCATTCTGCTGTTCTTCACTGCACTCAACTGTCATTAAACGAAAATTTTTCAAAGTATTTTTATTCATAACGAATTTTTTAATTATTTCTTGTTTCTATTGTACATCAGTCAAAGAAGCAGCATTTGATGCAATTAGCATCACAAGTAATTATTTTTGTTAATTATAATATTCAATCAAATTTGAATAATTTTATCGTTAATTATAAATAATACAGTACTGAGATTTATAAAACCTGATAGTGAAAATCTTAATTTTAAATACGTAAAAAAAATTTAACAATAAATTAAATATTTTAAAAAAAAAATTAATGGACGAATTCAGAGCAACAATTCGCCTCTTCGTTAAGTCAATCGGATCTATTTACAAAAGATATTGCTTTTATTTATTTACTTTATACGAATTAATAAAAAACGGCACTTGTGATTAATATGAGGACATTCACGATTAAAAATAAAATATCAAATTTAATTATAAAAAATTATTTTTTAAAATTTACGCCAGTTTAGAAAAATTTTGACTCCGATTGACTTAACATTTATTATTATTGTTATTGGTACTAATATTATTAATTGTTGTTGTTTTTTATTTCCACCTGATTAATGCAAGACGCGATAAAATTACACTACTTATATGATACTGTACAGCAATGATTCAGTGATGATACATTTATAATTTATATATAATCAAATAAATATTAATAATTAACTAATAATAATAATTTTTAAATAATAAACAAGAAGACAGTAATTGGCAAGTCTTGATTTATTCGGCAAGACTATGAATTTATAGAAGACATAAAAATTAACGAAAATAAAAAAAAAAAAAAAAAAAAAAAAACAAAGGTACAATCTAAAAATTATTATTATTAATTAATAATTATTATTAATTACTATTACATTACGAATCTCGTTCAAAGTAAATCACATTTAGTTTAGTGCGTTTATGATTCTCAATAACTTATTTTAATTAAAGTCATTGTTGCTAAAAAATTATCATTCATAAGAGGAAAAGTATGAATTTAAATTTAATACATAATTATAATAAATTTTTCTGCTGAGAATCTTTAATCAATTTCTTTTTTTTTACTCTATAAACAGTGGGAGAAATTTTAATTGCGAGTATCACAGACCGGAATGTCAAGGCTTACCTCGCGGATAATTTAAAAGCTCGATACTATTTATCATTATCATTACAATTATTAATATTAATTAATACATTTATTTATTAATAAATGATTCATATCGCTATTGGCATTATAATACAATTTCATTGGTGTACTTATAATTCTCAGCAGGTTAAATTGTAAATGTGATAAACTACAAAAGAATTTTTTTTCTGTGTATGTTATTCTTTTTTGTACATCATTAATCTCATATTAATAATGATTATTATTATTATTGAGAATCATTATAGCGCACAGTTAAAAACTGTAACGCATTGGTGTTTCAGGAGGAACAAGACATTTAAATATTTAATGTATCAAGAAAAAAAAATCCATTACGACTGAGATTTTCCTTCGTGGACTAAAAATTTTTTTGAAAAGCTTAAAAAACTTTTTGGCTGACGCAGCAGCTTGAGAGCTTGTATCATGGAAAAAAAAAAAAAAAAAAAAAACTTAAATTATTTTCAAGTTTTACTCAACGTTTACGTTTAATTTTATTATTATTTATTTTCCTTGCAAGTTCAATTGTTGTTTTTATTTCATTTTATCTGCAGCCACGGGTGCTTGAGGCATTCAGCGGCAGTATTACGATTATCCGGATCAAAGTCGAGCATAGGAATCAGAAAATCTGCAAATTCACGTGCTTCGCTGGGTGACCAGTCGTACTTTTCAGTCAATACCTCGTACAATCCCCATGGCTTCAGACCAGTTATGTGTTTCAATTCCCCTTTTTTATTAAAAAATGCTTTTGAGTATTTTCCAGACAGTGCAATACGACGGGGTATTTCACCAAGTAATTCAATAATATGCGCCAAGTGATCTTCGTCCCTGTAAGAATAAATAATAATTATTTTAAATAATTTAATATATTTTAAAAACTGATAAATTTTTGGAATATGTTAAAATTAAAAATAAAAAATACCTTGAATAATCAGCACCACTGTGAGGTTCAAACAAATAATCACCAGTAGCTAATTCAAATGCCATACAAGCAGTAGACCAAATGTCTGCAGAAGTACTGTACCCAGCACCCAATAAAACTTCCAGGGACCTGTACTGCCTTGTTTGAATGTCTTCTGTGAATTTTTTATGAACCCAACACGCGTTACCAAGATCAGCAATCTTAACTTCTACCTCACAGTCAACAAGAGCCGGATCTAATGGAGCTACGGACATACGTTTAGGATGTTTATTATCCGCGGAATTGACAGTGCGTGTTGAATTATCACGACTGTTATTCGAACCACCACCATTACCATTATTACCACCACCACCACCACCACTACTACTACTACTACCATTGTTACCCCCAGTACTAGTACCAGTATTGACATCAGCAGCCGCATCAGTTGTTGTTGCTGTTATCAACGAAGAAAGACCATCGCCACAGCTTTTGTCACCAGGAGGAATCTGAGCGCCGCCAGCAGTCGCCTCTTGATTAATTAATCCTAATGATGACTTATTATCTGACGATGATGCTGATGATGACAATGTATTATCCATATTATCTGAGCTCCCACCAGTCGCTAAATCTGTAACAATACCATTAACACCACGATGAGGTGAGGTGATTACCGGGTCAGATATATCCGGTGACTCTTTACTCTCAGTATTATCATCAATACTCTCGGTATTTTGATCTTGGTCTGTTGTTGGGCTGTTTGTTTCGCTGATACATCCTCCACTGTTATTATCACCCTGTCCACCAGCACTCCCACCGTTCTGTGTGTTATTAATGTTCTTTGATCTCTCTTCAAGCTCTTCAATTTGCTCCATCTGTTTTTTCAACAACTCATTTTGACGTTTGGCCTTTTTCTTCAATCGTTTCTTTTTATTTTTCGACATTTTTGAATTAACAGTCGGCTCTTGAAATTTTTTCGGAGCTGTTGATACCAACGATACTGGCAATTTTAGACCCAAAGAATGCAATTCCGTTGCTACCACTGCCAATTTTCTTATATAAGTTTCATCAACACATATCAATACATTCTCTGGTTTAATATCAGTGTGGATAATTTTACCTGTAATAGATTACACAATTTATTTATATTTCAAGTATAATAAAAAACAAATAATAAAATTTGTGTTGCAACGACTTTTAGGGAAATAAAATAAAATTTTTAATTATTATTACAATAAAATGACAATACTCACATTTATTGTGTAAATAATCAAGACCCTCAAGAACCTGCCTGATGATACGTTTAACATTATTACGCGGTATCCCACGGTAATTTGATTTAATAATTAACTTAAGAAGATTGTGTCCCAGTACTTCAAACACCATACAGACATGTAACCCATTAATACCACTGATTTTAAAATCCGTAAGCAGTTGTACTGTTTTGTTACGTTTGGGATCATTAGGATCCGTATCGCGTACATCTTTCAATAATTTTATTTCGTCTAATGCTGTTTCGGTAAAGTGTGACGCAGACTTGACAACTTTCAACGCGACAAATCTCTTATCCTATAAAATAAATTTAAAAAAAAAAAAAAAAAAAAATGTCATCAATATTAATCATGAAAAATTAAAATAATATTAATAATGTCAATTAACATATTAAATATTGTCTCACTTGTAAATCCCAACAAAGCCAAACTGTTGAAAAATGTCCCCAGCCAAGTTTCCTCGTAACGTGATAACGATTTAAAAAAAGATCGCCTATTTTAACTGGATGATAACCACCGTGACAATAATCGCTACTATCTTCTTGTTCTTCCTCTTCGCTGCTATAAACGTCATCGTCATCTTCGATTGTTTCGTTGCTTGAGCTGTGACTTGGTTCTAACCTATATCGATTGATTAATGAATAAAAATAGTAAAAATAATAATAATAATAATAATAATAATAATAATAATAATAATAATAATAATAATGTAATTATAGTTATGATAGTTACCTATTCCCATTATCAGCAGTAAATGGTCTCGGGCCATTGCTATCCTGATCAGATTGACGGGCTGCCGTTGCTGATGATGTCTTTGAGCAATGTGCTCCCGAGGAATTATCAGTATTGTCTTGCTGTGAATTACTACCAGTAGACTTAGCACCCTTGCGCTTAGTTGGCTTGTAACGTTTTTTTTTAGCTTGGATCGCCAGGACCCGTCTATTAACAGACGCCTTGGTGCTCATACTTATTATCCCAGTTTATTTGAGAAGCTCGCCTCGTAGGTGGTTAAAAATTTTTCGCTGGAATAAAACAATAATCTTTTGATGTTACTGAGAATAGAGAAATTTATATCATCACCAGAGTTCCAATGGCAACCACGACAACTTGCGCAATCGTTCACCACACTTATCACAATACAAAAACACCAACAACAACTGTTTATCGTGTTATTCCTTAAGCGCATCTATGTCTCCAGCCACAACAATTATAAATAATTATTATAAACGTACTGGTGCGTAAAGTTGTCGTTACTAAAATCACCGCGAATTTATTATCAAATAAAATAAAATAAAACGATAATTAATTTATCTGAATGATCCTGGCTCGATCGACGATACTTCTCCTACTCGTAGTATTCGTGTACCGTGTACTTGCAAAATAGTTATTATAATCCAATGTTATATGATTATAATATTTGTTACAGTTATTATAATAATCGGTGTATTAAAATGTAGTTTAGTATGTAAGCAATGTCTAGTCTCAGCTCAGTCCGTTTTATAAGTGCCGCTAGCTCTTTACTCGCTCGCAAAACCAGACTCAGAGACAGAGATTCTTCGGTCGTTGATCGTCGTCGTTCGGCGATTGTTTGAGTATGGCCGACTTACAATACACTTCATACCCTTAAAACATGTAGCTACTGACCCATCAGCCACCAGCAAGCTGTCCTCTGTTATCCACTCCTACTCGCGTTTCTCGCGGTTTCTAGACTACTTTTTTTATTTTTTTTTGACGTCAACCTAGGCAGTAAGCTTCCGGTAACTTCTCTGTTTATTCCACCCTCATTGGCTGACTAATAATTCGTTTTTGATAATCCCGCTAGATGACAGCTCAATTTCAAGTAAATAACAAAATGGAGTCTCTTTCTCTCTTTCTTTTACGTTATAGTCTAGGTAAGTGCTCACGCGACATTTTTATAATATAATTAATTGTTAATGTTAATTTATTTAATTCTCCGAAAAATTAAAACTATCCAACAAACTCATTACATAAATCAAATTTTTCATTTACCTGCTGGATAAATCCACTAATTATATTTTAATTATTTTATTTTATTTTTACAGATTACCTGGACATAACCTAGCACTTCAACATGGTAATTATTTATAAAATTACTTTTCAATATTTATAGAGTTCTAAAAATAGCACAATTATTTATTTTGTTTTTATAATTAAATATTGGATACATTTAATGTCTTCGGTTTAAGTAGATTTAAAAAAAAAAAATTGATATAAAACAAAAACAAAAAAAAGACCACATGTATTGTGTAAAATTATACTTGTTTCAATAAATTTGTATAAATTTAAACTTACATTCAATGATTAATTTTTATATTTAAACATTATGAAGAAAATTAAAATTAGAAAATCAATTTATTATAATTTATCTGATACAAACCCAAGAAAAATATGCTTGCTGGTGCTGCCGAATAATTTTTATAGTCGTATCGCAAAATAAAATTCAAATTATTAATTTATTTATTTTTATAGATTGCTGACCATTGAAAATTGATTATTTAATTTTTTCAGCCTCGAGAAATCAATGAAATCAAGGACTTCCTCCTTAAAGCCAGAAGAAAGGACGCCAAGTGTAAATATATATAATTTTTTTTAACTTTTTATTGGTAATTAGTGATTGTTTATCAAATTTTAATTTCTACAGCTGTCAAAATAAAGAAGAATGCTGAGAATGTCAAATTCAAGGTGCGGTGTTCAAGATTTCTGTACACGTTAGTCATCACCGACAAAGAAAAGGCGGAGAAGTTAAAGCAATCTCTTCCTCCAGGTAATTTAAACTTTCCAATTAGCGATTAATTAATTATAATCTGTAATATTTAAATCAGTTATTTTATTAAATATGGAACTTTGTATGATTGCAGGTCTTCAGGTCAAAGAAGTAACCAAGAGTAAACGCACTTAAATGAGTGTCTGAAAGAAAAAAAAAAAAGAAAATTTACGGATCCTTGATCATTTATAAGGAATGTTAACTTACCTTATAATTTTCTTATTTAATTTTTAAATAAAAAGATAATGAATCTGTACTCAGTGTTTAAATTTAATTAATTTATTAACCAATCAAAACGAATTAATTTTTTTTAGAACCCTAATAAATTGATATGTTAAAAATAAATTAATTAATATACAATACAATAGTATGAAGAATTTATAAAAGCCAAAAAATCACTCATCAAAATTCAATATGTTACTTAAAAATCTATTATGGCAAGTTACAATTCATCTAATCAGCATTATTAGCATTAAAAAATTTTCCTATAATCACAATTTTAGTTATTAGTTTGTCTTTAATTTTATAATTACTTATGACTTTGAATTTAACTTATTAAATCCATTAGATTATCACCAGTATCATTAATTTTGTCAATGAATCGCTGACCTCGAAGGCTGGACACTGAAGCCAGAAAACTGCCAACGACGCTCCATGTTAGCACCTATTCCAGACAGTTCTTGCTTAAATACCTGAGGAAATCGTTGCATAAGAGCTTCGACCTCACTGGGCCTGATTCCTGGCTCCATTTTTTGTAAATAAGACCAAACGTAGTCAACGCTTGCTCCGAATGGATGAATATGAAGAAACGTCGCCATTAGTCCTGAATTAAAATAAAATTATTTTAGTTCTAGTTTGATTGCCAAATATTAGCCATAAATTGCAGATTTACCAATTAATTTAGCGTCTTTTTGAGTTATTTGAACATAGCCAGGTATAGCAGCAATAAGAGGTCTAGGAGTTCGCGGTTCCTCGCTGACGACAACCGAGTCATCATCTTTATCTAAAGTTATCACTTCATTTTCAGTCGAACAACTATTATCGCCTATTGAATTTAATTTAACAGTTAAATCTTTTATTTTTTGGTCATCTTGCACCTGTTGCTTCTGAGACTGAAGCAATTGCTCCTGCATACCCTTCAATGTTTGTTGCAACATTTTTATTTGTTTATCTTTGGCATCAACTTCTATCTTGGTCTCTGATTTCAATAAATCAACCTGCAACGCGATGAAATAATAAGATCATAAAAAAAAAAAAAAATAAATTTTAATTGTAGCAGTTTTTTTATGAATAAAAATCACTACCTCATTTTTGTAAGCCTCAAGCTGACATCTAAGACTTTCAGATTCTTCTTTGAGGATCGCTTGAACTCTTTCATCTCCTTCAGCTTCGCTTCCCTGTATCCTTACTTTTTTTCTTTGGGGCTCATCCTCCGAGTCAGACACTTCCATTTCCCCTTCGCCGACTCCTGTCACAACGGCTTCTTCCAGCTGAACGGCTTTGATCTCCTGTTTATATAAATATAACAATAAAATATTTTTCTCTCAATCATGAAAAATATCAAACAGTATTCAGAATGAAATTTATTGTGAATAAGGAAAAAATGAAATAAATGTTGACATAAAAATATTAATGTGCATGCATATCGTACTCTGAGTGTATTTCTCAGTGCTAATCGCGAATTATCAATAGTAAATTAAATATTTTTCTACGTGACCCGTCACCTTTTATTATTAATTAAATTAACAAATAATAATAATTTATAACTAAAAGCCAAGCATTTACATTTAAAATAAATGTTAAGTACAAGTATAAATACAGAAGAGTAATCAGTAATCAGCAACGACATTTAACCGGAACTTGAAGAATTTATCAGCTGGAGTTTTTATTTACTGCTGTAGTCCGTGTTCTGTAGCCATAGCAATTAAATAAGCCATTGATAAATTAAAAAAAAAAAAAAAAAACAAAAATTATTTTTTATACCTAATTCCTCTTGATAAGTCGCGGGTGTAGTGTAGGTGTATAAATATTATAATTATTTATTAACTGGTGGATTAATCGATTGATGAGTAAATCCTGGGGCCTTTATAAACTTACCTTTTATCCATTAACAAATTTATTTAAATTACTTACATCATTGGATGGATCTGTGTCTTGGGGATAAAAGGGGAGGCGCTACCCTTCCGATTTTATTTACTGAGATATTTTTAAAAAACGGTCCGCTTTAAAAATATCGGAAGGTGCGATTAATACATACCGATGACTGTTTCTTCCACATCTCGATGTTCTTGCGTTGGGCCTTGGTGAAGTGATCCCATACTTTCTTATGACTTGCTGCGGTGAACACACGTTCTATCTGACTGACTGTTGTCGATCGACGCGGATGTTGCGTGTCGCATACAAAAAAAAAACACAACAAATCCTCTGTTGTACCCAGCGTTAAATTCAGCTCACAATTTTTTAAAAATAATTCTTCTCCAACTCTCTCTTTCTCTTTTCTTTAGATATTATTTATAATTCCTAAGTACCTGTACTGTGTGCCTTTAAAACTACAATAAATTTATTTTCCATTGATGATAATCGCAGCAAGAATCCTAGATTTATTTGTAAATTATTCAGCTATTTATAAGAAAATTTTTCAAGTTAAGTAGTTTTATTTGTACAAGAATCATCTTGAAAATATAAATTACTATACCCAACACCTTCCAATTCTCAGCATCCGCAACATGCAATAATTTAGTGACTAGATATACATTAATACATCAATAGCCCTCTAGAATGTTTAAAAAAAAGAGAGAGAAAGAGAGATAAGTACAAAAGTACAATTGACGTGTCCACGAATATTAATAAGTAGTAGACACGTCAATGAAGAAGAGACACTTGACGAGGAGCAATGCGTAATTATATTTAATATCAATACTTAAATAAAATAAAATATGAAGAGCCGGTTTTTATATTATTATAATTACGGCAAAAACTTACCCGTGGAGAATAAAACGCGGTAACATTTGTACGTAATTAGTACACTTTACTATGCTATGAGTATTGTAGTCAGCGGTGAAACAGCAAGATAGACAGAGATACATTTTAATAAGTTATCAATAAATACGTACATTGTATAAGTAATCCTTGCATTCTCCCTTTCATCAGTTCTTTAGCTCGTTGTAACTCTTCTTCGTAAGAGGCTTTTTCGGATAACAGTCTTCTCACGTGTGAATTCGTTGACTGGATCATTGAATAAAAAGTATTTGAATTTCTTTTAGTACAGTCTCCACGTTCCAGCCATGTCACCACGATCTAAATAATTTAATTTCACAATTACTTGTTAATTATAAAAAACTTTTATAATAAAAACCAAATAAGAGACACCTAGACTAAAATTGTCAATAATATTGACAGTAATAAATTAATTAACAATCAAATTACCTGAACAGCTTTCATAAAAGTATCATCCTGCTTAATCTTCTCACAAATATTAGAAGCTTCATAGTCAGTATAATGAACAACCGGTGGTGGACTAGAAGGTTGCCGTTGTCTTTCCTTTTCGACCCTCTCACGATGTCTTTGTTCCCTCTGTAGCTGCCTTTGCTTGCACTCCCACTCGTACTGATCATCCCGCGCATAAATATGAGCAAAGTCGACATACAGCCTTCCTGTGTTAGCCGAATCAACATTAGAGCCAATTCTGATCCTATAGCCTGAGAGATAGATGGCCCCGTCGACACTATTCTCACTGGCGAACCTGATGTGACAGAAATTTTTCTTGGACAACCTCAGAGTAGTAATTTCCCCGCACCGCTCGAATATCTCCTGGATAATCCCGTCAGTGATATTCTCCGGCAGACCTCCCACGAAAATGGTACGGCAGCCTGGAGGTTTTTCCCTGGTAGTTCGCTCCGGAGTGTTTGGGTTCGGCGGGAAGAGTGTGCAGCTCTTGCAGTGGATTATTTCTTTGGTAACCGGATTGTTGGAGCCATTGCCAGAGCTGTTGGGAGGATTCTGATGACTAGAAGCAGGCGTAGGAGCTTGGAGACTAGCAGCAGCCGCAGCAGCAGCAGCGACATTCATCATCTGCTGGGCAGTGTCGTTCATAATTTGCTCGGTCCCCAGCATCTGAGCACTGAGCATCGCACCCTCGTGTGGATGAGGCATCAGCCCGAGGCCCATAGGACCGTAGCCGTGGTGATGGTGCGTGTGACTCATATGTGGGCCCAAGCTCATTTCACCTAGCATTGCACTCATCGGGGGTCCTATGGGAGCCATTCCCATCATCTGATAGCCGACTCCCATGCTCCAGACACCTGGACTAGTAGCTACAGTTTCCATCTGGGTGGGGATGCTGGAGCTGGAGCTGGTCGTCGCCGGGGTGTTGCTCGATTGCACTTGATTGTTTCCCGCGGAACTAGATCTTTCTTCGAGTCTTCTTTCATCTCTCCTGTCCCTGTCGTTCCTCTCGTCGCGCCTGTCTCTTTCTCTGTCACGGTCCCGACGATCGTTCCTGTCATTTCTGGACCTCCTGCCATCGCGAGTGTCTCTATTGTCTCTGTCACTTCCACTTCCGTTAACTCCACGTCTGGTGGCGTCGTTCTTGTTGGCCAAGGAGTCAGTTCTCCTGTCAGCGGGCTCCTCGGTGCTCTCGCGGATAGGAGGTGGCTGGTTCTTCTTGGTGGCAAACTCCAGGGGAGAGTCATTCATACCTGGCAAAGGCGGCAATGGTGGCGGCAAAGGTGGAAATCCTTGGCTCGCCAGTTCCATGAATCCTTGAGGTCCTGCTGCGAGTCCCAAACCCATCGGACCCATTCCTAGAACGTTTAACCACATTATTCAGGGAAGATTGAACTTTTTAAATAGATATGCTACGAGGGTTGGCTTCTACTTGAGTTCAAACTTAGAATAACTATTGTATCATTATATCATGAAATAGAATATAAATAGATTTAGGAGGCCAGATCCCGGTCACAGACAACTCACCCATTGGAGGAATAGCTGCTGATGGTATCCCAGGAAAATTGTACGCCATTTTTATTCTTAAATATATTAACTATTTATTGTTTGGATTAATATATTTCTTTTCATTGATTTATATGTGCTGGTGTTAATGCTGTTTTATTGCTTCAGATACTACTGATAAATTTGCTGTTGGATAATATGAGCTGTGACATTGTTTTTAGTTATATAATGAATGTTAATTGGAGCTCCAACTCAAACAATGTACTCACCACCCCCAGTGTGTGCTCACAGCGACTAAGCGACAACAACAATAATGTTGTATATATATATATATCCATTTCAATGTGATATATATTTATATTTACAGTCAATATGGCAGTCATCATAGTTTGAATAACTTTTTTTCCAACAGTGACTTCAGTTGCATGTTGATTGGATACCAAAATTATTTGAAGAAAATTTTTATTGATTTTTTCAGTTTTATTGATTGGAAATTATTAAGATGAAAATAAATGAAAACACTAGAATTGTTGGCTCCAAAGTGGTTCTTGTTCCCTATAAGAAAAAATATGTTGAAAGGTATGTGTATTGGTGATATTTGTTTGTTATTTTAATTATTATTTTATGGTAATTAGTTAAGTTAATTTTTTGGAAATTTTTTTTTTTTAGAGAAATAGATAAATTAAAGTTTATAACCTTAAAGCGCAAAGTAGTTGCGCGGGAAAATTTAAGCAATAATAACATTTATTGAAATTTAATTTTATATTGAAAACAGCTGATGTTTATAAAATAATTAAGTTTTTTACTGAAAAAATTGTAAGATCACTTGAAATTAAGAAAAAAATTAATTTTATACATTTTTTAGTAATCTCTAGTATTTATATTGAAAAATAAAAAATAGTTATATATGAGCTGTCTAGTTTTTGAAAAACATAATTTAATTTAAATGAATCATAAATAAATTTTTTTTTTTAATTCAATTGAATAAAGTTAAAAATTTTATTTGAAATATAATTATTTTTTTCAGATATCACCAATGGATGAAATCAGAAGAGCTTCAATATTTAACAGGCTCTGAACCTCTGACAATTGAAGAAGAATATCAGATGCAAGAATCTTGGCACAACGATGATAACAGTAAGCTAATTGTTTTCATTTTTTATTTAATTATTTGCACGTTACTTGAAGAATCAGCATAAATAAATAAATAAATTTATTTACAGAGTGTACATTTATTATCCTGGACCGAAATCGTTTTGATAAAACAAATCCCGTGGATTCAATGATTGGAGATACTAATCTGTACCTAAATGACATTGAGGAGCCTTTTACAGCTGAGTGTGAAATAATGATCGCTGAAAAATGTGCCAGGGGTCAAAAAATGGGATGGGAAGCGCTGATTCTTATACTACGATACGGTAATTTTTAAATAATTCTATTAATCTTTTAATCATTAATCAAACTAATGCGAGATTAACTTATCTAGGAATTGAAGCGCTAAAAATAAACAAATACAGAGCTAAGATTAAAATTGACAATGAGAAAAGCATTAAAATGTTCAACAAACTCCGATTTAACGAGGTGATACTTTTATAAATAATGTGAAATACCACATTTTAATTTTATTTCTAATTGTTTTGATTTTTAGATAAGTAGGAGCGTTGTTTTCGAAGAAGTAACACTGGAATGTGATGCCAGTCCTCAGTGGAAAGAGTTTTTGTTAAATGAAACAGCAAAATCTTATCACGAACCAGACAATTGATAAATTGGTAAATTACTAATTATTTTAAATAAATATTTGAGCATCAAAAAAATCAAAATAGTAAATAATTGAAAATTTTAGTACAGGGTCTAGGGCACAGAGCTGGAGATAAACGATGCGCAAGAAGCTGTGAATACTCTCAGGACCAGGTACTTCTTGCGCATCATTATCATATAATGTACAGTTGATGTTCGTATGCGTGGCGAATATTAAGTTTAATTGATCATCATCAACGACAACGACTCAGTTGCGTCACGCGTTCGATCCCGTTAGGACAACCTATTGCTCAATCCATGGCAATAAAAATAAAAAATAATACATTTGTAACTTACAACACTAAAATTATCAATTAAAAATAAATAAATTTTCAATAACAAACTCACTAGTATAAATTTCAAATATATTTTTTATATATTTGTATTTTTAAAAAATATATATCGTTATAATTTTATACTTGGGTATTGTGACCCGCGTGTTTAACTTCTAAGTTGATGAATCGTGATTGCTCGTAAGTGGAGTGTAATAAAAGTAATAAATTACACAATATTTTTTTTATTATTGAATGATTACCTTTAGTCTGGGTGTACTTAATTTGAATATGCGCTCAAGTATATCACCGAATAAATAAATAAATAAATAAATTTATGTTACATAAGAGTTATGATTTTTAATTTATAAACTAATCTTATTGTCATCTTTTAGGTTGACGCAATGCGGTAGAAATGATGCGGAAACACTCCTTTATTTTGTACTAATTCCACGTGTTGCGACCATCATATATATACGCTTGTTTTTGACAACGTTACAGGTATGTAGTGAAATTTATTTCCATTAGCTGAAGTTTATTAATTTAAAAATTATCTCATTAAATATTTAATAATAGTGAAATCCTAAAATTTTTTTTATAATAATTTAATTATTATAAAACTCTAAAAAGTTGTAAAACGTTTGTTGATTTTAGTATCATAATATTTAATATTTTTCTATTTCAGAGAAGTTTAATTAATAAAATAAATTATTAAGATTATTGAAAAAATGTCATTTTCAAAACTTAAATCAGCAGCGATTAAATTTCGTCCTTTATTTTTTAATTCTGTCGCTTATGGATCATTTTATACCGGAGCTGAATTTTTACAGCAGACGTATAATATTAATCAAAAAGAAAAAGCTGTAAGTATGAGTAAATATTTGACTTTTATCATCAAATGTATTCTATTAAAAATAATGAAGGCTAAAAATAAATATTTAAATTTAAAATATTATAAGTATTTTTAATCAGCTATTAACTCAATATATTTAAAACTAGGCTGCAGTACTGAATAATACTCCAGTCAATTCAAACAAACTCTTTCCTGATAAATTCAAACTAGAAGATTATAATGTACCCGTTCTACGAAGATATCTCACATACGGATATTTCCTCGCTGGACCAATTCTCCATGGATGGTAAGTATCCAAAAAAGTGAGAATGTCGCATGTACTCCATTTATGTTAGCCAATTAATATTCAGCACTAATTGCTTCAGCTTTATATTATCTGATTTACCTGAAACGAAATTTATTATTTAAAAAAAAAAAAAATCAGTACTTCTCATTCTAGATCATCGGATTTCTAAATAAAATGATAATGTAACAAGAGGACACGTGTAATCTACAGTACGCTGATCTACCTTCTTTTCTGTTTTAATTCTGGAGACGGTAATTGGGTTCACTTTTTCTATTAATATCTGATTTATTTACTTTTCACACCTACACGCTGGCTTATCTGTGCACTTTTTTACCTGCAAACTTTTACACCGTACCGATCCAATTACAGTAGTTATTATTTTTGTTAATCTTCTTTTAATCACTTGGTAATTAATAGTTAACATATATATGATATACCCTTAGGTATTCATGGCTGGATAAAATGTTTAAAGGAACAGCACCTAAAATAGTTGTTACTAAATTGTTATGTGATCAATTTATACTTACGCCTCCATTAGTCGTATTATTTTTTACAAGTGAGTAATTTTACTTATTTATTCATTCGTATCTTGAAGAATCCAAACTAATATTCCAATTACAGGTATGAGTGTTATGGAAGGAAAAAAGACAGAGAACCTTTTGGATGAATGTAAAGCCAAATTTGTAAAAACATTTGCGGTAAGCTTTTTTTTAAATAAAATATTCTTAATACTAGGTCGCTGTATTTCAAATGAATACTTTTTGTAATTTCAGACCTCATGTATATTTTGGCTACCAGTGCAATTTGTAAATTTTTTACTTATACCACCATCGTTTCGCGTTTTGTATGTCAGCGTAGCTTCTTTTTGCTGGGTAAATATTCTTTGCCATTTGAAACGTACGCCCATAGTACCTGCTGTTGAATTAAAAACTAAATAATAATGTGTAAGATTTAAAAGTTTATTATTATTGTTAAAAAAAAATTTTTAAAATAATGTTTTAATAATTAAAATTTTTTAATGCACAAAATAAAATGCTCTTGAATACTCTTAACAATTGGCTTTGTTTATTATTAATTATTTAATTACACAATATTTTTTACAGTAACAATTTAATCATGCTCACAACGTAGCCGTCACATTTAAAGTCTCTTCTCTCGTTCTCTCGTTTATCAATTTAAAATTTATTTCATCATTTTCATTCGTTTAAAATTATTTTAATAAAACCATAGGAAATAACTTAATATATTTGTATTGTAAAACCTTAAATAATTAGTAATAATAATAATAATAATAATAATAATAATAATAATAATTAATAGTCAATAATTAAAAAGAAATAATAATAAACTGGATGAATTATAAAGTTAGCTCGCATCAGCAATAATCTGCTTTCATATGACAAACTCATAAGCTCAACAACGGTGGACGGAAATAATTGTGTACAATACACGCAGAGATTTAATAAATATTAATCGATATATTTATTTTAAGATACCTTCAAAACTATGAGTTAATTTCCTCTTTAATGTCACTGCAACTGCTTACAATAGAATTGGTATAGATGATTTCAATCAATGTGATGTACTGAGTTGGGTCATGACAAGTGATTGAACAGACATTTATAAATTTATGTTTCAATTTTTTAGTATTTTAATAATTAACTGAAATAGTCGGCACGGAAATGCAATTCTTTGGATTACTTTTGAGTTAATTTAAAATTATAAAATCAGTCGCGCGATAAATGGTTTTAAAACTTTAATTTACATTCAATCGCTTTAACATATTTATTTATATAACTATTTTTTTTTAAATATTATAGTTTTCAAAGTGGGAAACTACCACAAAAATGCTATTAAAACAGGCCTTTGTAAAGTATTTACAAATATTTCACGTCGCGATTTTACTACAATATAAATAAAAATTTAGACGCTGTTTATATCCATTTGAACAATTTATTTCATTCAATCTTGTATGTCATGATTGATGATTATAAAAATCGCATTCATTTAAATATAACGCAGTATCACATTATTGCTAGTAATAAGTCACGTGTTCATATACAAGTTTCACTACTAAATTTCACCGCTGATAATGACCGGTGTTATAATTATTCCATAAAGACAATATCACGAATAATTTAGTAGACAATTATGTAGCGTTTGAAGTAACGCTGGTGCATCATAATGCGAGCAAGCATATATTGATTTTTCCCTGTCAGTCTTTGTATTTATATTTATATTTATATTTGTATTATTATTTTAATGTTTAAAATTAGATTAAAAGCTAAACACTTGTGTACTGTGTATGGTAAAAGTGTTACATGTGTCGTGTGCGTCAACAAAGTGGTTTTGTTCATTTTATTTATAATTTTAAATTTGTTCTTTTCGTAGCTTTGGACTTGGCTCTGGTAAACTGTCTTTAAACATAATACCTTTTTACTTGAAAGAAATTTTCTTCATTTTCTGGATTTAAATTTATTATAATAAATGTCTAAAGAAAATCCAGCTCTACCTTGTCGACGAAAATAATATATTCATTGTTCCGCTAGCAGTACGTTTTCTTACTAGTCTTGCTGCAACTAAAATAAAAAAAAAAAAAAATGTATTTTTTAATAAACAAAGTAAAATTAATTTAATAAATTATTAAAAAGAACTAACCTGTAGCATCTTGAGGTGTTAACGGTTTATCAATAACTTTTTGTATTACATTTATCCATTGAGCACGATCATCGTCAGTCTGAGCAGATAACAAAAAACTTCTGTCAGGTGTTTCCAGAGTAAACGAAAAACCTTGATCTTTAGCACCAGGTGGTACGCCTGTTTTAATAGCAAAACCTTCTGAACTGTGACCAATAAAAATTTCTCCCTTCGGATGAGCATCCTGAACATAAACGAACCGTAATAAGTCATTAAAATAAATTACTCATCCATTGATGAGTATTATTAAAAAAAATATTACCATAGGATCATCATGGTACATTAATTTCCGACCGTCTAATGTAAACCATCTCTTTTTGTAAGCGTCTGAATGTCTTGGCCCAGTTTTCCACAGAAATCCTTCTTTTGGAAAATCCCTCGTTAATTGTGACAGCAATTCATTTTCCGACGCACCAGGATACGCGACCTGTAACCTATGCAGCTTGGCACATCGTATCGCTAGATACCAATTCGTTATAACTTCAGCATCTTCGTGGTAGACATAGATGTGGCGCGTTGACCCGTCTTTCATAAATGATATTTGTAAACTATTTTGGTTTCCGGTCTTGGTTGGAGCAAACGCGACGTTCAGTTCTGATATTCTTAATACTGCTTTAGGATCTTTATGCTCTTTTACGTGATACTTTAACGTATCGTCTGCTTCGGACAGCACAAATTTACGTGGATAGTACCGGGAATCTTCTTTACCTCTTTTCATTAAAAATCCTTCCATAAAACCTGATACGTACTGATTTTGGCGCTCTGGACGAGAAAATTCTTCACGTTCATATTTAGCACGGATCCATTGTTCTACTAAAACTCTGAATAAATAAATAGATTAATTAATCAAGGTTATGATGTATTAAAAAGTTATAAATCCAAAAATATAATAACAAATAATAAATATATCAATGAGTACAAAATTCAAGTATAAAACGTAAGAGTTTATCATTTTATCCACAATGTCATGAAATTTAAAATAAATTAAGCTTTTTTTAGACATTACTCTTTTTTTCTTATCAACAATGATACAATTAATCATCAATAAAAATGATACCAAAGTAATCTATAAATACGGAAATATTAATTTTTTTTCTTTTGGCAAATTACAAAAAAAAAAAAAATTTATATCTGTTGCATTTAATTTTACAAGTATAGATTTTATTTTTTAAAATAAATCAGAGAAAAAAAATTTCTTAACAAGTATAATAAAACAATGAAAAATAAACTTACTGAGGAGCATTTTCAGTAGGTCTTCTATAACAAGAAGGTACCCGTTTTTCATAACAATGTCTCGCAGCATTATTACCAACTTCCTTAACTCTGGTAACTTGTGAATTTTCCCATCTATCTAGCTTTAAATGTTTAACTTTCGATATGTGAGCACCCATTGATCTATGTACACCTGCACATCTCGTACATAAGAAAATCCCGATGTTGTAAGAAGCCCATTCCGGATCTGAAAAAGTAAAACCATCTAATCAACCAAAGGCCAGCCAAGTAGTATGTGGGCGGGGGGTCTAAGATCTGTCACACCTCATCGTCATCAATGATAACGATTGTTAAATGATATGTACATGTACATGTAAAATTAATTACTGATCTAATAAATCTCAAGTCAAGGCCACAGAGCAACTACAAGATAAATAACGAATTTAATACTCATAGACATGCGTATGTTGTTATTACATCAAACGCAGTTATATTGCTCTTACTCATACGCAATACCTATTAATAATTAATAATTAATAATTATTGCTAAGTATAAATGTTTTATAAATAATTAAGATACATACTTCTAGCTCCACAGTCAGCACACTCATTGTTGCCTGGTTTTTTTAATAATTCGGCGAGTAACTTTTCATTTGCATCCGCCATTTTAAAACACTATGTGAAAACGTATTAAAAATTTTATTTATATATATGCCTATGAACGAACATGTCTTTTAATAAAAAATAACCATCTTACCAACTGTTGATTAGCAAAAATTTTTTTTTACCAACAGAACTGCCAGAGCGCATCAAAACCCCAACGGTTGATGTGAAAAAAAAAATTTTATTATTTATTATTGAAGATGAATTAATTGAAAAAACTATTTAAAACTTTATAAAAATTATTTAAGTACTCACAAGTAATAAAATTGAGTAATAAAAGGTAACAATAATTAATAATTGTCGCTATGATCGCCATTGCGCGGTCATGTTTTGATCATGAAAAAAAAATGGCCGCCGCACCTCCACTGCGTGATTGAAAAATTGCTGAAATAAAATAAACCGCGATTATTAACAGTAAATATAATAACAATTATATACAAAAGTAAGTTTATTGTATGAAAGTGAGGTTGTTGTCAACAGTAGCACCAGGATCTGCATCAACAACAATCAGTATCCATGTACTGAACAAATAAATACCAGGGAATATATTGCCGTGTAAAAAATATCACTCACATGTCTTGGTATTGGTATACATATCGTTTGTTATCAATCTTGGAGCCAGTGATAGTTTGTTTTAAGTAAAGTAATAATCAGTGTTTGTGATAATGATCTTATTTTACTTTTTTAATGGCTCGTGTTTCGCGACAAGACTATTTATCGATTAAATATTAAATTATTTAAAAAATATTCGATTTTAATTATTTGAGGATCCGTGGGGTATCAGTTTTTATGGATTATGGCGTCAATGGATTTTGATGCTGAGTATTTTGAAAAGAGGTTGACGAATCTAAAAGATTCGCAAGACTCAATTCAGAGTTTATCAACATGGTGTCTTGAACGTCGTCCTCATCATAAGAAAATAGTCGCTTCTTGGCTGCAGGTCTTGAAAAAAGGTTGGTATTTATTTTATATGTTTGTATCATTAAATCTTGTTTTGCTAGTAATTTATTAATTATTTTATATACTTAGATATGGAGATATAAAGACAAGTGCAATAGTTCACTGAGTATTCGGTATTTTTTTTTTAAACATTACCGTACTTCAAAACTGCTAAATATCTAAGATATTTATTGGAAAAATTAAAACAAAACGTAAAATTAATGAACTATTACTTGTCTGATTTTTCCACACAATAAATTTAACTAAATATCAACTTAAAAATTTTATTTTTACAGTCAAAGTCGAACATCGGCTGACTTTATTTTACTTGGCGAATGATGTGATTCAATACTCGAAGCGGAAAAATTTTGAGTTTGTCGAGTCCTGGGGCACGACGCTCCAGCGAGCTACCACAATGGTCCGCGACGAGAAAGTGAAACACCGTATTTTGCGTATCTTCAAGATTTGGGACCAGAGACAGGTGTACGATGAAGAGTTTCTGGCAGATTTGTCGGGACTCATTTCGGCAGCGCCCAAGAAGAAGGCTGAACCACAGCCAATCGTAGTCCCTGAAGAATTTCAGGCTGCGCTGCTCATTTCGACTATGAGGTCTTGTGCAACGCTTGAACAAGCCACTGATGCAAGATTAAAGGACTTGCGTGATAGTAACGTCGACATTGATAATGCTGAAGAGCTCTGTGCTTCTCTCAAGGATCGGAGGCATGTAGAAGATGCAGAGAAGGAAGTTGAGGTCGCGGTGAGCAGTGTTGAGAGCTATGTTCGTGCTTTGGAGGCGGAGATAAGAGAGCGAACCCAGGTTTTGGAGTTACTTGAGCAGGCGGATCAGTTTTATGAGACTCAAAGGGGAGAAGTTAAAATTGTTGCTAATGTAAGTTGAGATTGATATATATATATTTTTTTTTTAATAATTAATCGGAGGTTAATTAATTGATGATATTTTTCAGGCCTACAGAAATTTTGGTAGTCGAGTTAAAAACTTGAAAAAGAAACTCGACGAGTTGCTGCCGACTCTTACATCACCTATTCCTTCACCAGATGTCAATGCACCTTCTCCGAGTCCTGACAGTGACATTGAATTACCTGGTGATGAATTGAATGCTAGTAGTAACATTATTGATGTCACTCCAGCTCCAATGTATGGGTCTTATGTCCAGGATTACGATGTTGGAGCAATTCCTCCACCAGATTTAACTCAAGGAAACAGTTCTACTGATTTTACAAGCAATTTCTCGTCATTTATGGGTGGAAATGTTGATTTTGATATGGTAAATATTTAGATTTTAATTAAATCAATTGATCATTTTATTTCATTAAATTAATGTACATTGTGATTAATAATATTTTAAATTCCAGAGAAATATATTCAATGATAGATCGTTAACACCAACTGGCAGTAATCACTCCTACAACATACCAACAGAGGTAATCAATTATTTAATAGTGAGTTGATATTGATGAACTGGTTAAGTGATTGATTGCTAAATAATTAATTTTTATGAATAGGCAATGCCGATTGAAGTGATAAACATGCGCCCGAAAGATGGGAATGAGTTTACTCCAAGTTTCTTAAAATCAGTTCTTCCGAGCTCAGAAGCACCCTCTGGAATTCCCGGTCTAGGTCTAGACATACCCGAGCCACCACCAGAGTCACCTCAGCGCTCAGAGTACCCACACTTACCTGGCCAGCTAAATAATGCAGCGCGATTGAGTCTGGGAAATCAGTTGCGAGGACTAGGCAATGATTCACACACTCCTTCACCGTACTCGAGTCAAGGCAGTCAGAGCAACGTTGCAATGGTTTTTGAGAACCAGAATCCTGTTCCAATTAATCCATTACCACCACCTCCATTGCCTCCACCTATTTTTCTGGATGAAGAAAATTGCTACAACAAATTGCCGCCAAAGTTTCCTACATGGACATCCACTAATGAAGGTACTTTATTATTAAGAGTTTAAAATTTATCGGGTGAAATTTTGGTAAGAAATTTATGTAAATTTTTTTTTATCCTATAAACTGATCAACTCCAATTTCATTTCAAACAGCTAAAAATATTAATACATGGACAGAAGAGAAACCAAAATCCTGGGAAGGAAGTAATAACCGCTGGAATGAGCCCGAGGCTCGATGGTCCAACGGTATGCAGTCAAAGCCTCTAGCTTCCGAGACCTCAGACTCTCCACCGAGTTACGAAAAGTCAAACTTCCATGAATCCATAGAATACCCGGATTCTCAGGCTCCAGAACCTTTGGTCAACAGTGTTACTGACGTAGATCATCGAGTTGCTCCTGCTCCAAGGCCAAACGATATTCATCTTCCACGATTAATGAAATCCGGAGACGTTGATCATAGAAATTTAATCAGTTTGACCGGCAGTCCCGCCAGCGTAATTAATTCCGAATCCGTTACTTCAAATAATCGAATCTGGGACTCTGATCAAGACTACAGGTATATTAATTTTATATTATTATATTATATTTATCAATTAAAAATTGTTAATAATTGTATCTATAATTTTCTAGAAGACAAGTGCAGTCGGGTGATATAGTAGAAAGCGTAGACATGGAAATGTCTGATGATGAAGCTGATGGTCCAAGTGTTAAACAAAAGAACCGAGTTCTCGTAGATTTGAGGGCTCAAGACCGCGACATGAGAATAACTCAGCCGCCTCCGCCACCAAGACACGACATGGACATGCGAATGATTCCGCTGCCAAACAACCCGATGATCCGCGGTCCTATGCCTGACATGAGAAATGTTCACATCAGACCACCTCCACCCGGGCAGTTCCATCCTCAAGAGTTCGTTCCTGGTCAGCCGAATAATTTTCCTCGGCCTGAAGATTTTCCCGGTGGTAATTGTCCTCCAGGTATGCCTGGGTTTATGCCTCCTGGAGAGTTTCCTCCTCACCCTGATTATGCGCGTCAGGATATTTACGAGAGCTACCAAGGTCCTCCACCAGGAGATCACCAATCCCAGATATTCCGTGGACGTGGCAGAGGCTTCAGGAATCGGTTCTCGGATCACAATGATCGGAACCGGCGCAGACACGACGATAATTTGGCTGATAGACAGCAGAACTTGCAGCCTCCTGACACAGTTGTTATTTTGGACGACAATGGCATGCCCATAATGCCGGATCTTAACGACGGAAGACTTTCTCTGGATCCTGAAGAGCACGAGGACTTACGACCTCCTGGACATAGTCCTGATATTTCTGAAATACCCGATAAACTTAATGACGATGATGTTAATGCTGAAGAACGCGCTCAGACTGCCGATGAAGCGCCGCGTAATTTATCGGAACATCTAGAGGCGTTGATGAACTCTAACATGACCAATGATATGGAGCGACAGAATGGGCTTCTTGAGCAAGATATGTCGACAGCAAAAAGGCCTATCAATGGCCCCCCCAGCTCGGGAATAAGTGACATACATCCAGGAGCTTTCGACTACGAGTCGCCAAACGCAAACTTCCGGCCGCGAATGCCGACAAACAGTCCATTTGCCGGGCCCTGGAGAGGCAATCATACTCCTCGCAGCAGGGGCGGGTTTCGGGGATCTCCCAGGGCGCCTTGGAACGATCGATCGTCCGAACCCAAAAATACTGCGGTCGGGGTACCGAACTTCGCTCCACTCGCTTCGATGATTTTTCGGATGTTCTTCTTCTCCTTCTTGAGCTTCCTTATCTTCTTTGGCTGAAGTCTTCTTGAGGAACTGCTCAGACTTGAGGGTCTTCTCCATTTTCCGCGTCAGCCAGTCGGTGTAGGCTTTTGTCGAGTCCCAGGACTTGCGAGGGATTTCGGGAGGAATTGGAACCGTAGTCGATTCCGTGGAAGATTCAACAAAAGTCGTGGTCTCGTAGCTGGTTGTTTGCGCACTTTCGGTAATTTCAGTGACTCCTGGATTGTAATCATCACTGTCGCTTTTTACTAGTTCAGTTGTTTCATTAATAAGTGGAATTGATGCAGATTCTGGTGTTTCATGTTTTTGCTCTTTAGTTTCGGTGATGATAGTTGTTGAATCTGGAGTTACGCTGCTGGTTGTTGGAGTGGTAGTTATTGATTCGGTTGAAACTTCTGAACTCGGTGGTTCGTAGTTTGGATTACTGTTGTATTGTGGGGACATTTCGTTGGGTTTAGCTTGCTCTTGCACGAGGTTGTTTACTGCTGAGTTAAAATGCTGAGACTCAGCGGTTACAAAGTCATCCGGTGGTGATGGACGTACGCGGATTCTTACTCTTCTTCTTTTGCCGGGTACCTGTGGAGTTTAGTGAGTTAAGTTGATAAGAGTTATTTAGTTATGAGATATTTGTAATAAAAAGAAAATTATTGATAAATTTTCATGTTAATCATTATTTCAAATTTCATCGAAAATATGAAAAAAAAAAAAAAAAATGGTCATTTTTACGATGAACGAAAATAAAATTAAACATTTTAAGTGTGATAGGGTAATAAGACCCAGGAATTTAATCAAACAGTATTTAATACATTCTTTGTATTTGAGATGAATAATTTTATTAATTTCGAAATAATCTATATAATTGAGAGCTCTCAATTCTAGAATAAGGAAGATTTTGTAAAAATATCGAAAAAGTTTATGATACATACTAGCATTTTTCATTTATGTTTAAAAGAAGTGTACTTTAATAATGATTAACACACACACAAAAAAAAAATTAACTGGACTCAAGAGAAAAAATCTTGAATTAAAAAAAAAATTCTTGACCTAAAAAACTTTTTTCGGTTTATTTAAAAATTTTCTAATTCAAGAATTTTTCATTTTAATAAAAAAACAATAAAATTCTTCAAAATAATATTTTTGGTTCAATATTTTATTTCATTTATCAAGTTAATTTTTTCATCAATGTAGGCTTAACTAGCCACTTTAAATTCCAAAATCTTACCCTTCTTCGCGGCAAATTTTCACTAGATTCTTCTGCAGACATTTTCATTCCGAAATCAGTCGGCATAGTAGTTTCTCCCGTCATGTCCAGCCCGGGGGTGCTGGTTTGATTGTCAGAAGAGACTAGAACAGTCATAAATCCATCATCAGGCCTCGCGGTTATTATTTCCGGGGCATCCTCTTTTTTGGCGCTAATTTCTTTCTGCTCTCTCGGGAGTTTATCCTCCTCCGGAAGCTGGTTCACCGGCTGGAAAGAGGATTGGGTCAACTTGGTCGACCACTGGCTCTCGGATCCGTAAATATCCGAGGGCTGCTGCCTGGAATAAGGTCTCAGCCTTGACTCATCATGATGGTTCTTGCTTAGCTTGAGGCTACTTTGATCTTGTTGCTCTTCCACGATGTCCGAGGCTCCGAAATTCAGCATGAACTCGCGGTCTTGGTTGGGATACTGAAATAAAAAATCACTCGATTAATTAATATCGATCAATTAATTAAATAATCAAAAGTTAGCAATAAAAATAAATCTTACATTTTCATAAACATAATCCGAGCGACTGGGCCCATTAGCTCCGGAATTAACTGGCAAAGTTTCATAATTACCGTCGTAGATCGACTGTCTCTCGGCGCTGTCTCTCGACTCCTTCGGATGGATCGGTAGCCTTGGGTAATTTTCTTCCAGAGGCAAATTGTTGTTTTCATCGAGTGGATCCTCGGTGGTGGTGCTTGTAGTGGTTGTACGCCTACGACCAGGTCTTCTGACCCGGGTCCGTATTCGGTTTTTAGGCTCCTCAGCTCTCACGCGAGGCTTTGTCGTGAAGGACTGAGTGTCCAAAGCACTAGGTGTCGTTGTTACAGACGCAGTTGATGATTTTATCACAGGACGTGGTCGGCTTGGCGTTTGATACTTCTGCCGATTTTTAGTCGGTACTTGTGTGTGGGTAGGACTTGAATCTGCTGCTGTTCCGTCAGTCGGTCCTACATTTTGGAGTTGGATCTATTGATAAAAAAAATTTTATTAGTATGAAAAATAATTTTTATGGGTGATTAATTTAATAAAAAACTAACTGGTGATTCCGGAGCGCGGAATTTGCTGCTGATAAGATTGTGGGGTTGATTAAAGTTGGGCTTCCGGAAGAATCCATACTCTTCCTCGCTAGACTCCTCACTAGCGGGGGCGAGGGTGGTTGTAGTAGTTTTCGGAGCAGCTGCTTGCACAATTGTTTTAGGATGCGGACGATTAGCAGACTGTATTCTTACGTAATCGTTTCCTTCGCTCTGGACCTGAGCCGCGGTGAGATAGTTGGGCTTTTTCGCTCTCGGGCGTGTCCTCGCGGTTGTTGATTGTTGTCGCGGTTGATTCACTGCGCTAAAGTGTACAAACTCGTCCTGCGAGCCCCTCGGCGCCGTCTGGATCGGGGAGTCCTGTCTAGGGCGACCCCCTAATCGCGCCCTTACTCGCTGGCGAATTATTACTGGCGCCGGTTCCGTTGTCGTTGGTGCTTCTGTCGTTGTCTAGTTTTAACAAAGTAAATCATGAAAAATTTATCAATTGGATTATAATCCGGTTTGATCATAATTCGTGTTGCTAATTACATGAATTATTTGAAAAATTAATTGTTTAATGAAAGTAGTTTCTTGATTTAAATTTTTAAGAAATCTATTTTTTACTAATTATTTTCATCAATTTGATTGTAAGGCTATACTTAAAAAAAATTTTTTTTTAAGAAAAATTTAATTATATAAAATTTTGAATAATATAAAAACTTTTTAAGAATTGTTTTTGATTTGAATCAAAGTTATATTTTAATAAAATAATCAATTTATCAATAACTAATTTTGTATTTTTCTGTTTCAATTTGAATAATTGATTATAAAAAAATTTTTTTTTTAATTTTTTATCAATATAATTTTTAAATCGATTAAAAAGAAATTTATTTTTTCCAATCAATTTTTATCAATTCGATTGTATAACTTTAAATTAATGGTTTTAAAAAAATGTAGTCTCAAAGAAAAAATAAAATTTTAAGATTAACATAAAATTTTAACTTTGAAAAAAATTTAGAATAATATTATTGACGTGTAATTTATGATACTTGAAAAAAAAATTAATATTTCAAATATAAAATTGATTTTCGATCTTTAAATTTTGATTTTTTAAAAACAAAATTTTAATTATTTTTTATTATATTAGTAGATAAAAAAAAACTACGACAGTAATAAAATGACTATTACGGCTTTTAATTTTGATTTAAAAAATTTTGAAAAAATTAGTAACACAAATGAATTAAACAAACTAATGAAATAAAAATAACTGTCGACTTACTTCAGGCTCAGAAAAAGATTCATAAGGTCGCGGCTGTATTTCCGCAGAGTATTGATTATTATTTAACACCGGACTATTTTCACCACTTGTACTACTTCTGTCATCATTATTATTATTATTATTATTATTATTATTATTATTATTATTGTTGTTGTAATTAATACTAGGACGATATTCCACTTGAGAATAAGGTATATCAGTTACGCCTTCAGCACTTTCAGTTTTATCGGCATAATAATACTCGGGTGTCACCGATATCGGTGTCGACGGAGCATTATTGTTATTACTATTAATGTTAGCTCCTTCTGGTGCATCATAATCATACCCCTGGGCCTGTAAGTTTGCCTGGTAGCCATTATCGGACCCGCGGAATCTGTCGTGAGATAGATGAGGGTAATTAGGATTCTTAGAGTAATCTCGTTCTGTTGTCAAACTTTCGTCGCTATACGTCAAAGAGCTCACGGTGGTGAGTGGCACATTGTAGTTTTGATACTGGCGTGGGTTGGTTGGGTCTTCAGGGATGCTTCCGTCATCAGATAAAGTCTCGTGGGCTTGAATGTTTGGGATTTGATTTAGCGCCTGAAATATTTTTATTTACATTTAAATTGTGCTTGTAGTTAAATTTAGTATCATTGAAAAAATTAAGACTTTTACTTAAAAGATTAAAAAACATTTTTAATATTCATATAATTTGATTTTTAACTTTGATTCAAATTTCTGGCTTAAAAATGGGAGATATGATAAAATTAAAAGAAATCTTTTCTTTAGAAAATTTAATTCTTCACAAAAAAGTATTCTTCCAATTTTATTGTATCTTTGATATTTTATCCAAAATTTGGACTTTGAATTTTTAAAAATAACTGTTTCGAGGATAAATTAAGAGAATAAAGAAAAAATTATTTTTATAGCACATCTGAATAAATAAACTAAGTTTTTTTGGTTAAATGTGGTATAGTTCAAAAGACCAAGACAAATTTGTACGTAAAAATGCTTTGATGTGTACATTTATAGAAGCCAAAGCTACTCAAATTATTGTCAAATTGCTAGTAATTTTCAAATAAATAAATAAAATAAACCTACTTCGTGATTGCGGTTCTTGAACTTTTGTATCTTGTTCGCCGGCCGACGATATTCTTGAGTAGTGTACCTAATAGTAGTCTCGGGAACTTTAGACCTACTTGGCTCGTAAGTGTCCTTATACTCTTCGGTGGTAGTAGTAGTCGTAAATCGTGATCTAGATCTATTAAATGGTCTTCGTGTCCGTTCATAATTTCTCTGCGTGGACCCTGTGGGGGTGATGCTCGTCGACGAGGGTGTTGTTGTTCGCACTGTAACTCTTCCTCTGAAAACCACAGTCCAAAAGTTTACTTACATTCAAAATATGTTCATCAAGAAACAAATTAACGAAGGAAATCCTTTTAGAAATTTCAAAAATTCTTTTAGAAAGCTATTTTTTTAGAACATTACGTTTTTGAATTTAATTTTTTCGTTTTGGAGTAAACAAAATATTTTTTGCATATAGAGAAATTTAATTTCCTAGACCGGAATATTTTATACTCAAATAGAAAAATGAAGAAATATTGATTGAAAAATAATTTAATTTTACTCAATTATTTAAGAATGTTGAACCAAATTGTTCAATATCAAGAAAATATTTTACTACAATCAAAATATTCGCCTTCTTTCTGAAAATTTTCTACAGACAAGAATATTTTTCTTGACCCATTTTTTCCGAGCATGCTTATCTTATCATCTATAAGCCCACATCAAAAATCTGAATTTAGCCGTCTAAAGAGATCTCTCTTTCAAAAACAACTTCAATCCTCCTCAATTTATCACATCTGTAAAGTTAGTATTGACCGACATTATTAATGAATGCTCAGAATCTAATCTCATCCCCCCAAACTTACCTCTGTCTAACCCGTGGTCTGTGCGTAGTAGTAATTGCCTCAGTGGTAGTCGGAACAGTAGTAGGCTCAGTAGTAGTAGAAATAGTTGTCGTAATAAACTTATCAGCTTCACTTTCCTTGGGATCAAGCAGCGAATTAACCAATCCAGGAAGTTGGGGATGAATCGGCGGGAGTTCCGGCGGCAAACTGTACCCCGTCATAGGAACCACATTCGCATTACTATTCCCATTTCCATTGGGCCCAACTGGCCTTGCATCAATCTCCTCATACGAGTTCTGGATATTGGGATTCAGGTGATAAATCCCATGGTGGGGATTCAAGGAATGAGAAGCTTGCTGACTAGGATGCTGATAAGGATTCTCGGCGTGTCTGTGCTGAGAGTAATCATGCTGGTTGACTTGAGCCAATTGAGAAGTTATCTCCTGGTCCTTGTTCGGCTGGACCCTGGTGTGCGCATATCCATCCTGATATGCAGGGGTCGTAGGAGCAGTGTCATACGAATACGAAGATACAATATTCGGCTTTCTGTAATCAGTAGTAGTCGCGTACTCTTCAGATTGAGGATAAGGAGTCACAGATTGTTGCTCATATCCCCGTAAATACCCCTCGTTCCCGGAACTCGACGGATAAGGATACTGCGGAGTGGCTGATGGATACCCGTTGGGATAAGGAGCTCGACTCGCTAGTTCATAGCTCGCCTGGTATGGACCAGGGCCAGAAACCGGCAAGTTGTGATCAATGACATTTGGCACTGTCTTAGAATTTTCCTGACTGGCAGAGGGGCCGATATTGTCATCTAGGCTGTTGACGATCACCGACCCAATGTGCGGATGAGGGAAAGGAATCTTGTAGTACCCGACAGGCGGACTGAAGCTCAAAGGCGCTACGAAGAAAGGAAGTTTATCGACACGTCTTTCAACGCGATTCATGTCCAGGGAAGAAAGATAGGGCAGGTCGAACTTGGAGTACCCTTGAGGAGGATCCAAGTTCGCGGGTCCTACGAAGACTCGGGGGTTGGTTGATGAAACATGGTCGAGAACCGGGATCGTTTTTGCATCACGTAAGAATCGCAGGGCGTCGATTACTTGGAACTGGGGCTGGGTTTCTTGAGCTTCGAGGTCTGGGCCCATAAACACGGCGAGGGGCGGCTGGTTGGGAGGAGGGATTGTGGAGGCTTCTTGGACCTCGTCCTTGTGAGGTCTTCTCGGCTTGCTGCGATGCCTGGGTCCTTTGTGCTTGATATTTTCGGAGTGGTGTTGTTGGTGAAGTTCTTCAGAGCTCTTCAATTCTTCGGCTCTTACTTCTTCTTGCTGGAGGGCAGCTTTCTCGAGCTCCTTTTGCCTGAGGATGGACCGCTCGATTTCGGCATTTTTCTGCCTCTCGAGAGCTGCCAGTCGTTCAATTTCTGCCTGACGGGCTTTTTCTTCCTTCATTCTAACTTTTTCCTGTTCATCGAGTCTTTGGCGCTCGCGAAGTCGGTCTTCACGGATGCGCTCTAATTCGCGTTGTTTCGCGAGTTCTTCAATTTTAGCGAGTTCTTTGAGCTTCTTGTCCATGTCACGCTGGTGGGCGCGTTCTTGCTCCCGCTGACGAGCGGCAGCAGCGATTTTAGCTTGACGGGCTATTTCTTTTCGCTCTTCATTGAGCCGGTCAAGCTCTTTTTGGCGGGCCTCTTTGTAGAACTGCTCGATCGCTTGCTGTCCGCGGGGAAACTCGACATATTCTTGGCTGTAGGGCTCCTCTGTGGTGACGGGTGGCGAGGAGTCGATTTGTTGAGGATGGGGGTAACGATTATCGTGTCGCGGGAAGGAAAATTGGTTGTGGTCGCGGTTTCTTTCCTCCTTGGATTGGCCTCGTTGCGCAAGTGTTTCCGCTGGGACGTATACCACCTGAATCTGTAATGAAATTATCAACTGACTTTATTGCTTCCCGCTTTCTTTTTACTACGTCAATGTTTATTTGTTATCTCACTCACTCGGTCACGCGAGAAATTGTTTGGTTGTGATTATTCGGAGCGCGGAACTTTCGATAGAGAATTCATTATTTAAACTGGGTTTTGATTTTTAATCGGTATTAATTTTATTCTAATTATTTTTAACTATGAAAGTTATATTGAGAATTTTTTTAATTTAATGAAAAGAATTTAAATTTAATTGAAAAGAAAAAAAACTGAATTTTTTAATCAGTTGTTAATAAAGTTATATAAAATAATAGGAACAATAAATTTTTTTAAGTGACTATGATAAATTAAACCTGATAAAGAAGCTAATTTATTATTTTAAAGAAAATTATTTTAAAGAATTTTCTTTTCTTGAATCAAGCAGGGAAATTGTTGAACTAAAGAAATGCTTAAATAAATTATATTAATTAAAAATAGTTTCGTTTTGATTTAAGACAAAAAAAACTCTTCAAAATGATTTTCTTGGTTTCGAAATTTTTTTTTTTACCTAGTTAATTTTTATGTCAATGCATAATTTACTTGTGAATTATTAAAGTCTAAATACAACTCGTCGACTTATTTATGAAACAATTAAACTATAAAACCGACCTCTTCATCGGTATTTTCTCCTTTTCCATCACTGGCCGGTCCAGAAGGTGGAACTCCACCTTCAATTGCCGCCTCCTGAGATTGCTTGAATTGCTGTGAAGAATAAACAGGCGGCAAAGCATCCGAAGACAGTTGCGGAGGTGCCCCTTCTGAGTTATAATCAACTTGTCGATTTGGAATCGCGTTTTGTCTAAATGGCTGTTTGTTTTCTTCGACAGCATTCGGCAAATACGCTTGATTCTACGATAAAAATTTCATTAAATCATTACACTGATAATTAAAATTGTAATAACAAAAAAGTAGTATGTCCATGAAAAAAAATTACATTAAAAATATGTAGGAGGAGTAAATTAATAAAAGATACAACTTTATAAAAACATATTTTTTTTCTCTTTTTCATATTTTCAAGATATTTTTATGACTTCATTTTACTATTATTGTTTGAAATATAATTTTTTATATTTATTTAAATTACAATTAAATTATATAAAATATATAAGAAATCGTCTAAAAGTCAGCTATTAAAAAAAATCTTTTTTTATACATATTTTTAATAATTTTTTTCATGGGGGTAGAGGTACCACTTTATCAATTAAAAAAAAAAAAATACCTGAAGCAATTGCTGTTGCGACCTGAGCTGTTGCTGCAATAACAAAAGTTTCTGGATGCTCTCCTGAGTTTTTTGAAGTTGCATTAACTGCTGCTGGTACTCTTGCTGCAATGCCGGAGGTAGGTTCAGCGATTGAATATTATTATTGGGATTATGTAATAAAGCGGAGCCAGAGGGTGACTGACTGTGACTACTGACCACTGGCGTCTGATGCGGAAGTGCTGATCTTGGACGTGCCAAAGGAATCCACTCGCTGTTTGACGTCTGACGTGACCATCTGTCGCTGCTCTCCACAGAGACGAGAGTTGACAGACTCAACCAGGTTATTAAGAGAATCATCATTGTCTTCCTGATGATCTGCGATTAACAAAACAAATTTTTTAACCGGTCAAATCTCCATTCAGGATCTCGCTCTACACTGCCAGACTGTTGGGCAATCCTTTTCCTATTTTATAATTGCTCTTGCCAGTGGTAATTACAATCGCAACAATAATTATAATGCCAACTCAATTACGCGATATTATAAGTAACGATATAAAAAGAAAAAAAACTTAATAGACAACTGGAACGAAAGTAGTTTGTCATTTTTTTTTTTCGATTTTTTATTTTATTTGATTTTTCTTTAGCGATACACTTTATACACTTGAGCCAGTCGTGCATTAAATTGAATTTTTAAATTAGAAATTTGTAATAAATTATAATTAATTATTAAGGTTAATGATTTATTAAGAAGAAATTTTGGTAGGTGTTTAGTTTCACGCTCCCAAATATTTTAATTCATAAAATTGATGTTTGAATTTTTTTTTTTAACAAGTGACATTTTTTTTTTAATAAAAATTGAAATTATTTTTTCAAGCTTTAAAGTTTTAAAATTCTATATTGACAAATTAATTATGATTAAATCGATTTTTATTGAAAATATTATAAAATTTATGTTTAGAATTTTTTTTTTCTAAAGTTAATTAACAATATTCGATCTACATAAAATTTTTGTTAACATTAAAAGCATTGAGACTTATTAAAAAATTTATTTCAACAAAAATAATTTTATAGAAAATGTTTAAAGATGTAATTTTTCAATTTTTTTTTTTTTGACTAAAAAAAACAGGTGACCGTGAAATGAAACAATTACAAACTTTTTCGATATTAATTTTTTATTAAAAATTTTAGCTGTAAATAATTCAACAATTTTTCTAGAGCAAATTTATCGAAATGATATTTATAGAAGAAAAAAAGTGTATTTTTAAAGAGAATGTTGTCGACCTCGAGTGTAAATTATTTTTAAATAGAATACAAATGTTTCGTTTCACAGCAAAGTGGAATTAATAATAATAATTGTTTTTAATTGGGTAAAAAAATGTTTTTAGCTTGCTTTGCTTTAAAAATGTGAGTTAAGTGGATGTTGGATAATTTATCGGAGCCAACATCGACACTATCGTTAGTTAAGGTATTGAAATTATTATTACTACTATTTTATTATTATCAACGTCACCGAGGTACATGTTTAACTCGCGTGTCGTAACAACACATATGTAGGCATACATTTATATCACCATAGTAATATACTGGAGGATTTGGAGTGAAACAGAGCTAACGAACTGTAAATAATCGTAAATATACGGAAGATTTCTAAATAAGAAAATTATTAGTTGAGAATGAGAAGAAAGAGTGGGAATCGCAAGTAATTATTGTCTACGATCTATGGATTCACTTTGTAATTTGACCGCCAATTATTTTATTGTTGGATCTTCGGTAGTTGTTGGTTTATTTCAAAGATGAATCATTTGTAAGTCGAGAAATTTCTTCATTTTAATTAACTGAGAGAAACTTTTAATTATTGTTATTAGATTTTGGAAAAATTATTGATAATTAGTTCATTTTACACCCCGAAATTTCCAGAAGAGATTGTAATTAAGTCATCTTACATTTATTATGAGATTATTTACATTTATTATTTTCTAAATTAATCATTTTTCAAATTTAGAGTCTGGCTTGCTTTAAAAAAAAGTTTTCAATTACGATAAATATTTCTTAGATATTTATTCGAATAAAGAAATTGTAATTATTAGCTCTTATTTTACTGTAGTCGGATGATTCCGACTTTATTTAGTATAATTAAATCGTCTAGAGATCTTTAGTATTTAAGATCAATAGTAAAATAATCATTTTGATAATTAACATGATGATTCATCTTAAATACAAAAAATTTATTAAGTTTAATTTAATTACTTAAGTAAGTGTGCTAATAAATCCATCGGCCTTATTTATCTACTATACCTAAAATTTTTAGTTTATTTTTGTTTATATTACATAAAAAAATTCTTGGCTCTAGAATTTTCATGAGCTAATAAAATTCTCTCATCTAAAGAAAATTTCTTCTTCCTTCACTATAACTTTAATTTTCCTTACTATTTTTTTTGTTTTTAGTGAACTTTTTTTCTGTATAAAACTGACCATTTTTATTAATCTTTACATGAAAATTTTAATTAGAACTCTAAATAATTTATATAATAGAAAAATATCTTCTGCAAAACAAATTTATTTTAAATTTCCTTCCGGTGAAAAAAATTACACTTATATTAAATTACGTATAAGATAAATGTAAATTTTCAAATTATCATAAATACGCGCTCTTTTATAATTACATAATCCCTAACAAAAATAATTAAAATTCCGACGGATACTTGATTTTAAACTAAAAAAAAAATCCTTTTGACATCAAAAACGTAATAATTAATAAAATAAAAGGAGAATAATTTAGCTTTGGTTACCCAGTAATTGAGAGAAAGAAAAAAGAATTTTTAAAAAAAGCCACAAAAGAAATTTAATAACAATTTAATGCAGTAATAAGGCGTTTCATTATTCAATTGAACAATACTTTCGTGCATAAACATCCACTTGAGGATTGCATTTAGCACGTTTACGTTTATGTTTTACATTGCAATAGTCAGCTGTACTACTGACATGATTACAACTAAACAGCATACGTGCGGGATTTGAATAGCGGAAGCCTTGCGTGTTTGCTTTAATTTTATTTTTTAGCTTTCATCCTCACCATATTATAGTAATGACAATAATAATCATCATCTTAAATATACATACGTTAAATTACAACGATAATTTTAATAACATTAATTAATATTAACAGTAATAATAGTTGTATAGTTATGCACGACACGTGTGTTGATCGCATTCCATTCTTATTCTGTATACTTCTGCCCCTTTTACTTTGTATTGTGTCGGACCCGAAAGGCTTTACTGAGTATTTATATTAGTACTTGTACCGACTTAATGAAACGAAACAAGAGTACCCACCCAATCTACATTTTTACATTCATACATATATATCTAGCTTAAGTTAAATAACTTTCTCTTCATTGTGATAGATCCACGATTATTTGTATCGTTAAGTGAATATAATTATCGATCGAATAAACATAACGAAGCATGCATGCAAACCAGGTCAATTATCTTTTTCTTTTTCCATTTCTTTTTTTTTTTTTCAATCGTAATCTCATTCTTATCGCCAAATAGTGGGCTTTTTTGATCTCGAGGGCTCATTTGATACTTTTCTGGGTTTCTTTTTTAATTAGGGATTAAGTAGGGTTCCAGTTTCGTTTTCATTTTTGTAAAAGGAATTCAAGATGTGGGCAGCGGAGCGATGGATTTAAATTTAAGATTATTGATTGACATAATCTGACAAAAAAAAACTTTTTAAATAGACAAAAATTGAATAAATTATTATTATTGTTAATGAAAAATTAACTTTTATAAATTCAAATTTTCCCTACAAGCCAAAAGTCAATTGAATACAACAGAAAAATTTTTTTCTTTATATACCGACATTGATTTGCTGTTTAGATAAAAAAAAAAAAGTACTATACGTTCCAATCTTGAAAATAACATAAAAGTTTACTTTCTCAAAAATTCTGGGGTTAAAAAAGCGTATAAAATTTTACTTGTATTCCTCACATAACTTATTCGCTTCAATTCAATCATTGAATTTTAAGTTTGAAATCGGGTCGGAAAATTTTCTTACAAACTGTCAAACTATAATTATATTCGTGAAAATTAAGTTAGCTGACATTTCAAAATTTTGAAAAATTTTTTATTGAAAAAATTTCAATTAAACGATTAAAAAAAAAAATTCACATGTAAAAAACTTGAAAAACTATTAGTGCAATTTTTAAGAAATATCTTTTTAGTTTTTAGTTGTAATTTAATTAAAAAAAAAAAATCAATAATTTTTAGATGTCTGTTAACTTCAGTGTGATTTATATTCAACCACAAAAAATTTCTTTTGAATTATCATCACCAGGTTACAAATTAAATAAAACAGCTGAAACGAATTCCAATTATCTGCACCAACTAACAGCGGAATTTATGATGATCGAATGAATAATAGTTACATTGTAAATTCATTGAAAGCCAAGAATAACTGAACTAGTATATGAGAAATCGACCAAGTCGAGAATTGAACCCGGACCTCCCTGATTACATGTCGGAAGCTCTCATGGGTAATCAGGAAGGTCCGGGTTTGATTCGCCATATTTTTCAAAGTTATTTTTTATCAGATATTTAAATTTGTTTTATTTAAATTAAAAACAAAATTCAATTGAACTTTGTAGATAGTTCAAAATAATTTATTATGTCACAATTGTTTAAAAAATTAGTGATGTTTTGAAACTGTTGGCACTTGATCTACTCAGAAAATTATCAGTTTAAAATCATGACTTAGAATCTCCCTTTATACTATTTAAACTCACCGGACGGAAAGGAATTGAATTAAAGGAGAATAAATAAGTGTGTTGATAGTTAAGTGTAGTTATAGTACATACGGAGAACTTTCTTTAGTCACCTTCGCTCTCTCGAGCTCTCATTTTCGTGGGCCCGCTAGCGCCGCTCGACACCAAAACATTTTCTGTTGCTTTCGATTGTCCGACTTTTTAAACTTAACTAATATACTTAATAATGTCAGTTATTATTTTTAATTGGCAGGTGGTTAAAATTTTTCTACTTTATGAATGGAGACTTTTTTGTTAATAGAAACTTGGATTAAATTATTATAATTTTTATTACAAGAAAATATTTATAATAAATACAAACAATTATTATTATTATTATTAATTTTTTAAACTCACAAAAATTTATTATTGACTTAATTATTAATTATTAGAAAATAACGACTCTCGATATTCACCGGAAAAATATTAATGCAGTTTTAAAACTTTTTTTAATTAACAAGTTCATACCGAAGTATAATAATTTTCTGATTAAAAAAAATTAATATTAAAGTTTTGAATTTTTTATATTAAAACGGTATTAAGCTAAAGGATTTTTCAAATTTGTAAATTATTTTTTTTTGATAAAAAAAAAAATAACAAACATTGATTTATTATTGAAGTCTATCAAATTTTTTTATTAAAATAAATGAGTACTAAAGCACAACATTTTAAAAAATTGAATTTAAAATTAATTTTTATCACAAAAATAATTCAATTTTATAATTAAAAAATTTTTTCAAAGTTTCACTTTAAAAATCTCATTAATTGAAAAATAACTTCCAAAGTATTTTTAATTTCTACATCATTAAAAATAAATTTTATAAATTTCTTTTAATTAAAATGTAATTACTGAAATTTCCAATTTCTTCAAATTAAAATAATAAAAAAAAAAAATAAAATTTACTTCCGCATAAAATTGATCAAATTCTTAAAAAAAAATAATAATAATTAATAATAACAATAATCAATTAAAGTCTATATCTATATTTCTATAAAAAATTTTAATTGACAAAAAAGTTATCAATTAACACTCTTTTATGGATTACTTAAACAAAAAAAAATTTGAATTTAAATCAAATTAAATTTTAATCAAAACTTTATATCCATCTCAAATGTCTTCCTCAACAAATCCGGACTTCCTGAACAGCAAGTTCCATTAGTTCCGTATGAAAAGCTTGCGCGGGTATAATCTTGAAAAAAAAGAGCTGAAAAACCGGCCGCTTCTCATCACCAAAACTTCCGCATTCCGCTAATTAACTCTATAGATGGCTGAAAATTTTCTAAACCCACAAGTTCATTGCCCGTTGAAAAAACGATTCGACCGCGGAAGAAATTTTACCGACAAGTTAAATCTCTAAATTCTAAATCAATCACTTAAACGTTTAAATTGCCGCAATCTCTGATGGTGAATTATGACCGCAGGTCAGTCGTCTATAAAATGGATTTATATTGAAATTTCTGAGAACGTGGAATAGAAAAATCACCGTGACCCCAATTCAAAAACTCTCGATACAATAAAATAAATATATAGATAAATTTGATCCACTTGATTAATAAAAACTATTAAGTTCAGCGAGTGTACTTACCATTTTTAAAATTTACACTACTTTTCCTTAATTTAAAATATTAACTACACAACACAACACCACTCATCCTCTCTGGAGCTATTAGTTTAATAAATTATTAACAAGGGATAACAATTAATTAATTGACACTTTAAACGCACGTGAAAAATAAAATCCTAAATGTACTCGAGTACT